CAGCAAATCTTCACCACAACTGGTATCTGTATGGTATTCTTGTTATTTGTTGTTGTTGGTATCAATGCCATGTCTGTCCATCATGTGAAATAAAGTTCAATTCTAAGCCACCAAATACATGGTTTTTCAATCATTTCTTTTCAATTTTAGAAAGTTGTGATTCAAAATCCAAAGCAGTTTTGACGAACTGCCTTGACATAGCAAATACAGAACACGTAGCAGTAAAATAAGTCTTCACATCCAACAATCCACTGCCACTACATAATACATTACTGTATACTCTTTCTTCTTGATTTTGAGTAAGTCTTGGCCCATTAGCGTTCCATCAACCATGAAATTATACATTTACAATGCACATACAATATACAAAGGAGCCAATTATCCATATTTCTAGGTTTATTTGTATTCATCATTGAACAAAAACAAGAATAAACAACATAAAGCAATAAACCCCCCCCCCCCCTAAATAAAACAAATAAATAAGTATTACTTGGAATACTCTTTGTGACGCAGCTGCGGTCGTATAAAAGGTTAAGTCTACTCCAAAAATAATTGCCTTTAATAGATGCAGAAAAACAAGAGAAACAGAGCAAAAAAAGTCGAGTAAAATTGGATGACTAACGAAGTATGCAGAAATGTGGAATTAAAAAATCACTACACAAATTGCCAATTTGGTTATCAGACTGTGACGTCATTGCCTCACTATTTTCAATTGCTTTATATTTTATTCCCAAAACTCGATTTCCCATGCCTTTGCCCATGATATATGATTTGTATCAAATTGCATGCATGATATTTCCCTAAATCTTTTGAGAACTTTGAAGAATTGATACTATTTTCTGAATATTGTATATTCATAATTATTGATTTCTATAATCAATAGCTTATCAAAATCAATATCAATATTAAGAAAGCAATTAGTGGAGGGTGAAGCAATGACGTCAAAATCTCATGAATGAGTTGCTAAAATGTCTTGTGATTTTCAAAGTTTTTCATGTCATTAAAAATTCATAACATTCTATTAGACATCTGATGTTGCTCAATTTGTTTTTGCGGTGCCAGGTAAAAATGTCAGAGGAAAAAATGTCAGAGGTAAAAATGTCAGAGGTAAAAATGTCAGAGGTAAAAATGTCAGAGGTAAAAATGTCAGAGGTAAAAATGTCAGAGGTAAAAATGTCAGAGGTAAAAATGTCAGGGGTAAAAATGTCAGAGGAAAAAAATGTCAGAGGTAAAAATGTCAGAGGTAAAAATGTCAGAGGTAAAAATGTCAGGGGTAAAAATGTCATATGTAAAAATGTCATAGGTAAAAATGTCGGAGGTAAAAATGTCAGAGGAAAAAATGTTAAAGGTAAAAATGTCAGAGATACAAAGAAAATGTCAGGTACAAAAAAAAATGTAGGGGGAAAAATTGGTGCCATCATTATATCTCGGCACTTTATCACACAAAATGTCAAGATGTAAGCTACTGGGCTTGTCTCTTATATTTTATAAATGACTGTGTATTGTACTTCGTACATGTCCTGAGGATAATACAATATGGAAAATAAATTTGAAACTTATATTTTGTGATCAGGTTTGCATATATTAATTTCTATTATTTTTCGATATTTTATATTGGTTGATGTTTTAATGTTTATTTGGTTTTGAGGAAGTAGGCCATAAAATATACATAGAATATTAAGATTGAATGAGATACAACAGGGAATCAGTTATAAAGATCCCACAGAAATTCCACAAATTCAGAAATTAGACCCATATCTTCATGTCCATCCCAGCAAAGACTGTTGTGACAAGAAAACGTTAATAAAAAGACACGGACGCTTTGTCCCCCCTCATCAATACTTTATTACAAAAGTTTAACAATGTTAAATATTGTCAGATAGTAGGCCTACAAGTGGTAAACGTTGAGACATATCTACCCAGGTATTTTGTCATGTGCTTTCGAGTTTCGTCCATAACACTGCAACTTTATATTTAAAAATTACGACTAAGAAACGTGGGAGAAATACAGTATAAGTACCTCAACTTCAACCGTTTTTGTTCTGCAAAATTCATGATGCATTTGTTTAATGTGTAGACTTGTACGAATATGTACCTGCTGGAAACTGTCGTATACAGTGTATGCCAGCACACCTTGTATAAATCCTGCACCAAATATCGTTCAAACAATATTACCATGTATACAAGCAGTATCATGATCAGGGGCGTCAATCCTGGGGGGGGGGGGGACGGGGGGACACGTCCCCCCTCCCCACGAATGTTCAGGTGGTGAAATGTACCCCCATGTTTTGTCAGAATAGAAGTTCTTTAATAATTTAATGTAACGTCAAAGCTTCCGCGCGGGAGGGTGGGGGGGGGGGGAGAACTGAATTCAAACAAGGATTAAGAGTCGAGAACGGTATACAACGAATCGTCTTCTTTCTCTCAAAATGTATTGAAACGTCAAAGAGAAAAAAAAAGGCAATGAATGAACCGGTCACCAATGAAATTACATGCCGTGAAACAGAATAACTAGAGAAAGAGTGTGTGTGTAGCAACATAACGTGGTATAATTTTGAAAGTAACTGTAAAGGTGACATGTAATTGTGTCCCCCCCCCCCCCCCCATGCTCTAACTCGGATTGACGCCCTTGATCATGATGCTACAAATGTGTACAGTAAAACTATGTTTCTGATATGTTACTCATGAATAAATATTTGTCAATTTCAGTGTTTGATCTCTCACATCAAATAATTATAGAACGATGTAGCTTAAACAGAACCTCTGCAGAGCGCGCGCTTATCTGGAATATGATGGTGCGGTTAGCATTTGATGTAACATTGGCGGCTTTCTGTTTTGTATCAGAGTATCAAGCTGCTTATTGATGTTCTCCCAGACTATTTATACCGCAATAGTGATCGACGATCAACTCTTTGCAAAGCGCGCGCTTCTCTGGAATGTGATGGTGCGGTTAGCATTTGATACATGGGCGGCTTTCTGCTTTGTATCAAGGTATCAAAGTATCAAGCACACAAAAAAGTGAAATTGTTGGAAATATTCATTTGTAGGAAATTACATTTTATAATAGTCATTGCCACATTTTAAAATGTCCATCAATCTTCAGAAGGGACGGTGAAGTGGGGGCGGGGGGGGGGGGGGGGGGGGGCGGAGGACTCACGGCGTGATATGTTATCTTCTTCTTTCTTTTTTGGGGGGGGGGGGCTGTGATGACTTTTCTTTTTATTAGTGATTACACCATCGAGCCACAACTCGGCCTATAATTGTTCATGGCCAAACTACTCGATTTTAGACATTCTTTTTTCCCAGAAGTTTGCTCAGTGTACCAGTATCATTTGCTTAGACAAAGGCATATGAGGGGGAGGCAGCCGGGTCATTACGAAGGATGCACCCCCTCCCCCCGTCTCCGCTCGGCAATATTTGGGCAAAAGGTCCCAATTCCGGGCAGTAAGGTAAATAAAAGTTACAGAAAGAAGAAAATAAAGCAGCGCTGAAATTAATGAAACTTTTACCTCTGACATTTTTACCTCTGACATTTTTACCTCTGACATTTTTACCTCTGACATTTTTACCTCTGACATTTTTACCTCTGACATTTATTCCTCTGACATTTTTTCCTCTGACATTTTTTCTCTGACATTTTTACCTCTGACATTTTTACCTCTGACATTTTTACCTCTGACATTTTTACCTCTGACATTTTTACCTCTGACATTTTTTCCTCTGACATTTTTACCCCTGACATTTTTACACCGAGCCGTTTTTGCTTCTATTGAAAGTAAGTTCTTTTTGGAGTGGACTTGCCCTTTAACAAGCCTTTACTGGTTTCAAAGCATTTACTGATAAAGGCATACATACGGTACTGTGCGTCCAGACAGATAATTTAAAATGGTAAATAAAACGGGTTTGCATCTAACGTTCCTTAAATCTTTCAAAAGGTACGTTGACAACATTATTTGAAAAATATTTGAAAAAGTATTTAAAGAGAATAAAACCCAACAACATGAGCTTATAATATTGTTCAAAATTGTCTGCCAGTTAAAAATATCTTGAATTGTTTGTATCTGATTAATTAGCAAGGAAAATAACATATCCAAAGTTTACACTTTTCTTACTAGCTGTTCTTCCATGGGAGTCGCCATTTTAATTAATAAATAATAATAATACAATGATGATGTACTGATGTTAGAGTAGTACACCTTGTGACATACCTGTAACAATGATTTCCTAATTATAGACAATTTGGGTAATCCATTCAGATGAATGAATATTCTCTCTTCACATATTGTGACCACATATTAGTTCAGCTGGCTGAAACTGTTGAGCAGTTCATTTTGCTAGCAAAATGTGTTACTTTGTCAGACAAAGATCTGCTGTTATTAAAGAGAGTGACAAAGACAGAAAGAATTGCTCACATTTCTCACTTGTTTGTTTGAGATGCAAGAGTACTAAGATGGCTACCAATCTGCATCAATGGCTCTACATGTATGGTTGCACAATAGCCAGTCTTTATGCAATCCTCTATCCATTCTGTGCAGGTCAATGGATATGTACTCTGACATCGCTATAGTATTCAAGATGGTAACTATCGTGGGAGAATGGCTAAAGAAAGGAAACTGTCAAAGCTGGACTGATCGTTTTCCTTTTAAGTAATCAAATGTGAAGTAATTAAAAAATTTGTTTAAGCAGCTGACAATTTTTATCAAGATTATTAGCTCACAAGTGTTGGGTTTCATACTTTCATTTTCTCTAAATGCTATTTGATGCATATTTTCAATTTCAATTGCAAAAGAGACAGGCCTTTCTGGTAAGTGTCTCAATACACATCCCCACCCTTCTGTATATTTGTTATAGGATGGGGAATGGGTGTACAGTACATACTTCCATTTGTCTCCATTGATGTATTAAAATACTTTGGTCATTTTATTGTTGTTAACTATAGCAATGTCTACTTTTCTTCCCTTCATTCTTTGCCCTCTTTCGATCATTTTCCCAACCTGCAGGTTTCGGCAGGGCTACTCCATTGCTTTCTGTGTCCTTCCATGATTCGCAAAGCATTGAACAACCTTGTTAAAAGTGCTGTGTCATCTTTCAAAATGGCTGACATTGTTCCAACGGCTGCAGCGATGTCTTCCGATGGAGATAGCATGACCGTGTCACCAGCCACAGCAGATGATAGGAAGAGGGCAGCAGACAACTCGCCTGATAAAGACTGCAAGATGCAGAAACTGGAGGTACCAGTATGTAGATTTAAATCCCCACTGCACTAGTTTGGCCAGCAGAGATTAGACCTCCCTGCATGGGCACTGACAGGTGGTTTTCTCATCACAGCAGCTCTCAATTAACATAAGAAAAGGGGATCATGGGGACCTATGGTCACCAATTAGGCATTGTTTGCTATATGCGCAAGTAGCTATAAGTAGTGCAGTGGGGCTTTAAGGACTGTGCTGAACTACATGTATTTAATGTTGCATTTACTTGAAGGTAATGAGCCAAACGGAAGCGCTTAACCATGTAAACATTGAAATGTAGTTTTTATTACAGCTATCAATCAAACCCTCGAATTTAGGTTGATCCATGAATAACAAAATAATGAGACCAAGCACCATCATACACAAAACTGTTCTCAAATAATTGTTTTCTAAGAGTTGTTTCTGTGTTATGGACTGTTTATCGAATACCACATAGCTGCTTTGCTTGGATCTTCCAATATACAGATATTTTAAAAAGATAAATTCTTTTCTTTGAATGAATGACAAAGAAAGAAAATTGTACATTGATCTTGTCTCCACATTTCATTTGATTTGTATTTCCAGGATAGTGTCAGCAGTATAGACGTCACCAATGGCAGTGATGGACCAAAACGAAGCAAGTTATTAAAACGTAAAGTGGCCATCCTTCTCTCATACGCTGGGGCTAACTATGTCGGCATGCAGAGGTAAGCAAATACACACATATTTTAATTAAGTTGCATTAGCTGCCAATAAAGCATAGAATTGCATTTAAGATAATTCTGCTTGTTTGCAAAGCTTTGAATGGTCAAGCCCCAAACTTATTTGTTGAATCATTTTCATATAAACCACATCCATTTTCACATAACTTACAAAGTATAGATATATGTAGTACTTTGTTGGATGGCTTCTCTTTACTTTTACACCCTGTTTTCCAGAATTTTTGGAACCCAGAATTAAGTGTGGTGAACTACTCTTGATAGATTGTAAAGCCTGTCTGCACTACTTGGAGCTACTTGCGCCTTCTAAATAGCCAACAATGCCTAAGTGGTGACCGTTGATCCCCCATGGTCCCCTTTTTCTTATGTTAATTGAGAGCTGATTTGATGAGATAACCACTTGTCAGTGACCTTGCAGCGAGGCTAAACTAGTACAGACGGGCTTTAAATGGAAATTGTCACATGTCTAACGATATCACTCATCTGCCATTTTAGCATTTATAAAGTAAATCAAACACATTTTTTTTTAATTCAGATTTCAGATCCAATGAGTATCTAAAACAATTATTGACCTTTCTTTGCTTGTTTGTTGACATGATTTGTAAGTGTTTTTAGATATGTGTGGGTTGTGGACCCTTTGAAAACCAACTTAGGTTGAAACTTGAAAGGGTAATCCACCCCACATGTGGATTTTTTTTTTTTTTTAAATTGATTAGAAATAAAAAACCTCCCCTTTTGTACGATAGGAACCCAGGGGTGCAGACCATAGAGGAGGATCTAGTGAACGCGTTGGTCAAGTCCGGAGCCATCCCCGAGGACTGTGGAAGAAACATGAACAAGATGAGCTTTCAGAGGTGTGCTAGAACAGACAAAGGTGTGTCGGCTGCAGGTCAGGTGGTCTCTCTCAAAGTGCTCATGCTTGATAACCTGATGGAGAGGATTAATGAGCATCTACCACCGGTCATCCGTGTCATGGGTAAGTTTCTCTGTTGCTTCTTGTTTACTGCATAGGTATATGTAGGTCTTTCCTCTGAAAAAAGTGCTGTCTATTATGTTATATTGGCAAGATGAGAGAGGGATATTACACTAATTGATTGCAGTGGTAATAGTATAGATATATTTACTGCTATGACAGGCATCGCTTTTTCTATAGTCTCAAGGGGATGTTACATTCTGCCTTGGGGTCATAGCAGGATGTAACGACCCCTTGAGCCTATAGAAACGGCGATACCTCTCATAGTATAGTATTAATGACTGCTTTGAGAGAAACAGTTGTTTTTATACGCTCAAGGGAAGGTTAGAATTGTGCTATTGCCCCGAGGCGTGCCAAGGGCAATAGCCCAATTGTAACCTTCCCGAGAGCATATAAAAACAACTATTTCTCGAATATTAAAGCAGTCATTAATACTTTTATATGCCCAAAAAAACAAAAAAAAATAAATAAAAAATAAAAAATAAAAAAAACTTTTGTCGAAGATGGGATTCGATCTCTAGCGTACAGAAGGTGATGTAACTAAAATCACAGTCTTAAACCGCTCGGCCATCGCGCTCTGTTACCTCACCGAGGAGTTTTCTCTAATATATACATTAAAATGGATTGAAAACAGCTTCGCCTGGTGGATGCTTCGCGGCTGCTCCATTAAACGGGCCCTTCTTTTACTTTTGCAATGCATATTGGCACGAACTTAGATCAAGATCTATCGGCAGATGTTGTTTTGGCTTAATGGAAGTTTATTTTCGTCTTCATGTCATCAATGCAAGATAAAAATTGTCGGTAAGATCGATCAAGATTCAATTGTATTGAAATTACCGACCAATTCTTCGCACACGTACGGTATCCTTGATCGCTCAGACCATTTTTTAACATGTAAACCTATGGGGTAACCATGGAGACTGAACTATTTTCCCGGTAACCATGGTTACTGGGATTTTAGAACTGTTTTAACCATGGTTACTGGGAATTTTACAGAAATACAAAGTTTATGAATGCAATTTCGACCAATCAGATGGCTGGATTTCTTAAGTGAGGTATATAAAAGTAAATATATCTATACTATTGCCCTTGAGTGAATTTTAAACTGCATTATGCCCTAAGACAAAGTCAGGGAGCGTATGACAGTTTCAACATCGCTGAGGGGCTCAGCTGCAACTCTAAAGTGGACTGCAATACTAACAGTTCTTTTAAATTGATAGGTTTATCTTTAACTAACCAATAAAATGTGCATTTTGCTGAATAGGTTACATTGACATTTGAAGTAATTGTAGGCCAACCTACCTGTACCTTTTATGCAAATTTATTATGTAAAATGCAATCTTGTTCTCAACAGGTGTGACGAGGACAACGGGTGGTTTCAATTGCAAGAATAACTGTGAGTTTAGGACCTACATGTACCTGATACCAACTTTTGCTTTCACTCCCTTGGAGGACTTCACATTGGAGAAATACAGAGTTTCTGGTAGGTATTACGATTCTACTGTACACACTTTTCTACATTACTCACAATAAGTGATACATGTACGTGTAAAATATGTGTTGTCCTCAAGCGGATAGGTCACCGGACTGTGGATCACAGGTTAAGTCCTGCCATGACACTAATGTCTTTGGCAAGACATTTATCCCAGTTGCCACGCTCAACCCAGGTGAGGTAAAGGGGTACCTGGCAGGAATTAATTCCTTGAAATGCTAGAGCGCTATAATGGCAGCTATGCTAAGGCTGGGGTAATAATTGTGGAGCACCAGGAATGTCAGGTTTGGCAGGCTAAAGTGCTATATCAGAACCCACTGTTATTATTAAAATGCTATTTTGAACTAAGTGTACCCCATTTGCAGGTCATATTTCTGGAATGTTCATGTTTGAAGACAACTACCCCTTCATTCATCTGTATTTTATTTATTTGTCACCTACTTTTCAAGACATTTCATTCAAAAGCTTTTCTTTGGGACAAAGAAATAGCATTAAGTGTCCAGTAATAGGTTACCCATCATGCTACCTCTTTCAGAATACTTGTAGATCCTCTAGACAGCTTAGAACCTTTTGTTACAGCAGGTGAACGATCTGTGATGGCCAAACTTCTGTTCTCTTGTATTTAAGAATTCTCTCAGTGCAAGTATTGCAGAGTTAGATTCCTTCATGTCATGTCCCATGTTGCTTATTTTCAGATGAAAAGATTGAAGAGGTGGGTGAACAACTCAAGAAGTACATCGGCACTCACAACTTCCACAACTTTACATCAGGAAAGTGAGTACAACGTCTAAGGTCAATCCGTTCTATCTAACATGTCGAACGGGATAGGATGAAAATTTGAACAGTATTGGACAAGTATTAAGATTGTTATACATTTTTTAAACTTGACGACAGTTCCAAACCATTGATTTTTCATTCAAATTGTCAAAATGCTACCGTACAGCAAAGTTTCTGTCAATGTAGAAATAATTTTTTTTTTAAGGGTTGCCAATTTGAAGAAGAAAAGATGACCAAGTTAACCTTTAAAGCCCCACTGTACTACGTGTGCCTACTTGCTCCCTCTATATAGAAAACAATGCCTAATCGGTAACCATTGTTCCCCCGTGATCCTCTTTTTAAAATGTTAATTGAGAGCTGAGTTGATGAGATAGCCACCTGTCAGTGAATTCCCTGGGTGGTCTAATCCCACCTAGCCAAACTTATACAGACGGCCTTTAACACTTCCTATCATGAATGAGACAGCCAAACTTTTAACAGACCATCTCATGCTGGCACCTCAGATCAACAATTACTCTGTCATGGCAAACTTTTGTACCTTGCCAAAGGTGCAAGACCTACTTCTGCCTCATTTCTACACTGAGCTTCTCCATGTCTTTTGTTTCCTCCAAAGAGCCTTCACTGATCCCAGTGCCAATAGGTACATCAAGGAATTCACATGTGAAAAGGGCTTTGTGGACGACGGGTTAGAGTTTGCCGTCATAAAGGTCAAAGGTCAGAGCTTCATGCTCCATCAAATCCGCAAGATGCTTGGTAAGTCCTCTAGCAATATTACTTGTATGTTGGTCTAACTTTATAGTTGCTCTTTTCCATATCTGATGATGATAACAAAAATTGACACGCTCTTATCAGAGTCCTGTTATTAACAAAAAAGTAAGCTCAAAAGCAAACTTAAATTTTCATGGAGTAGATGAAAACTTCAAATGAATGTTTTGAAGTTCAAATGCAGTGGGCGAGTAATTACCACATAAACCTTTAATTTGTCATTTGTTAGAACTGATATTATTGATAATCAATGATATGTTTCCCCATAAAAGCTGATTATATGTTTTGTTGGTTTTCATTACTTTCATTAGCTATACATGTAGCACCTACACACTTTTGTTTATCAATTTGTACATATATTTATTTGCTTGACGTCATATACATGTATGTAGCTTTTTTTCTACATGGTCAACAGTTAAGGTAAACAAGTGTAAGTATCTTTTTACATCATATTCTTAGGATGTCAACAGAAGATAACCTTTAAATTAAATTCTGCTGTATCAACTGTATTTCCAGGTCTTGTTCTTGCCGTCGTACGGGGTCTGACACCACCTAGTACTGTTGAGAGAGCATTTCAGGAGCCAAAACTGGACATTCCCCGGGCACCCGGCCTAGGCCTGGTCTTAGAAGCAGTATGTATATGTATACTATTGCCCAACTGTTGAGTCAGTGTTAATACCATAGCATATTGAGAGAGATAGTTGTGACACACGCACACATACGCGGTCAAAGGTCAAGTCATACCATTACCCTACTGTTGAGTCAGTGTCAATACCATAGCATATTGAGAGAAATAGTTGTGACACACGCACACATATGCGATCAAAGGTCAATTCATAGCATTGCCCTTCTGTTGAGTCAGTGTTAAAACCATAGCATATTGAGAGAGATAGTTGTGACACACGCACTCATACCCGGTCAAAGGTCAATTCAGGGAGCTCCAATTACATGTAGCTCCCTTCTATAGACATTGTATGTAATCTAGACATTGCTGTTTAAGAGCATTAACATTGTACACTAAGAATAAAATGTTAAAAGCTATTCTCTGCTGTAAGACAATTGATTCATTTTATTTTGCAATGTACTTATAGTAAGAATGTCTAAAACGATCAAGAAAGGGGTAATGGTGAAAATGTCAACTCATTGGCTCTATCACTGAGTGAGCCATGCTGTCAAGATTGTAATACATGACCATGTTTTGTTTATTCTGTTTCACAGGTACACTATGACTGCTATAACAAGCGATGGGGCAATGATGGTCTACATGAACCACTCACATTCGAGGCATCTAAGGTAAGATATCTGATTTACCCTAGTTAAAGATAAACTTGAGTTCTGGTAAAAAAAAGAAAATAAATTCTCACAGAATCAAATGAAACTTACACTGAATGTTCAAGATTACACATAAATGACATTTGCCAAACAACTTTGGTAGAAAATGTATACTGGCTGAGTAATGAGCATAGAAAGATAAGGAAATCATGGTATACTAGCCCCGACACCATTTGTGTAGTCCCATATACATCTTTCTGTGCACAGTGCTTGTTACTTTACCAAGACTGGGCCAAATTTATTATGATTTTGATGACTCCAGAACCTTGCAGTAGACACTAATACTTACATCACTATAAACATGACGGACAAAGAAAGCGGACAAAATATACAGTTCCTCATTCTACCCTCAACAATTACTGTGGTAGACAAAGGAACATCCCCTCACTGCTATTATGTAAAAATAAGTAGCACAGGTGAATATGCATGTGACACCTGTTCTACACATTTTTACATAATAGCAGTGAAGGGATGTTTCTTTGTCTACCACAGCAATTGTTGAGGGTAGAATGGGAACAGTATATTTTGTCCGCTTTCTTTGTCTGTCATGTTCATAGTGCATGCTACATGATCAACTTTTTCTGATCCATTCCACACCTTTTCTTTCACAATGCAATCGTATGACCAGAACTCAACTTTATCTTTAATTAAAAAGGAGCTAAAGTGCAAACTGTATACAATCTAATTACAAAGACCGCTCAAGGGAAACATAAAGAGTGGTCTTTAGACTTCATAGGCAGGGTGTCTTTATGTACAGGTTCCTTTAGTACAGGTTTCAATGTGAAACCATATTTAAAGCTTATCTGCCGTAGTTTACAGGAGGGATTACACCGCCCTGCAAGGTCACTGGACAGGTGGTTATCTCATCAACTCAGCTCTCATTTAACATGAGAAAAAGAGGATCATGGGGGACGAACAGGCACTGAAAGGGGAAGTTTTCTATATAGAGGGAGCAAGTAGCTACAAGTAGGACAGTGTGCCTTTAAGGGAAACAAAAAAATGTGGTCTTTAAAGACAGGTGGTTTCGAAATCCTATAGAGACCACTTTACATGTTTCCCTTGAGTGGTCTTTATCAGTGCAAAATACTATGGGAGAACACAATGAGACCAGAAGCCAGAGTCTTACTGAAATGGAAATGAATACAACAAATTTTAGATGAAACAGACACTGCCCAAAATATCTCCTTTTTTGTGTGTGTGTAATTGTTTGAATATCTCAAAATTATTTAGGGCAGTAATTGCTCAATCCTATAATACTATGTGAATATTTAGTAGATTACAGTTTTGTGAAATAAGATGACTTAATGAATGTCTGGCTATGTTGTGGTATGTATAATTCTGATTTTGTTGTTTGTGTGTAAAGTATGTTTAAGTTTAATGCAACCCTCCTCAAAATGTACACTTTTTTCATGAACTATTAATAATCATACTTTTATTTCTCTTCTCTTATACAGGAGAAAATTGAGGCATTTAAGCACAAACATATCTACCCAAACATCATCGTCAGAGAAAAGTACAACAAGTCGTATCCTTTAATATAATCAGTCGTTTCTTTTGGTTTTTAAATTGGCATCTCATTGATTTTAACTTGCTGAAACTGTCATTTGCATTTATGAGGTGTATTCAGATGTAATATAGTTTTATATGTGTGTATTGCTATGGAGATCTGCTCTGTACTCTAAAAATAAAAAAATCTGAAATCTTTTTTCTCCAAAAGAAAATGTTAAATCATTATATGCGACCTCAATATGATTATTGTAAATATGTTTCTATACAATCCCTGTATGAATGAATTGATTCTGTCATCAATAGCTAAGAAAATGAATATTTATGAAATTTCTATACAGAGCAAATGGGAGAGTACCTCGCAAGATACGTCACAAAGTTAATTGGATTTTGCTCATACTTTCACCGACCAGCTCTCTCATTTTCTGCTTCTATTAAAACCAGTTTAATATCAGGGTGGACTTCACCTTTATATCATATTCCCTTTTCACGTTGATTACATAAGGCTTGGTTTAATAGTCTTCCACACATACACAGATGAATAGTAAAGAAATAACGTGATTTTTCCTTAATACATGTAAATGTGAATGATCAGTATGCTGCAGTGGTTGAGCACATTACCCCTCCACAGCTATGATGTAGTAGGGACCAGGAATCCATTGAGGATAGCTGCTACAGAGATGAAGAAAGCTCAGGAAGAACAGGTTTGTTTCATTTCCTCTACACATTGACTGTTATTCTTTAATACCACCTCAACCATTCCCTTCCAAGACATTTTGCCATGTCCCAGGGGTTAGCATGTAAATCAATTTTGTAGCACCTCTGTTGATTTCCATACTTCCTTGGGAATCACGATCATTTCAGTTGTCTCAACCCTTGGCTTGATATACCCATTTTATTTTTGACTGATTCATTTTTGTTGCTGTAAATGCCAATGACCGACTTATAAAATCACTATATTTTGATTAATTATTATTTATTTTATTTTTGATTAATTGATAGATTTATTTGTTATTAGTTATTAATATTTTACTTCGTATGTCTCGTTGAAGAGACTACATGAGATCCCGCCTTCGCGCATGCGCACATAGTCGTCTTCGCAAGCTAAGTTAATGGAAAGTTAAAACTTTTCATCGCACATTTTTACTTCATTTTCATCGGAAATCATCAGTTCTTTTTTTGTAAACGTAGTTTACTGGACTTTTAAACGTTTTTTGGGACGTTTCTCATCAGGTTAGACGTTGTCTACGCCTCCCACTTTCGTTTTTTGAGACGATTCAGGAATATTGTGTTCGCAAGTGAGTCGTGATTTTCACGGACTCAGCTATGTCTTTGCACACAGCGGATTTTGCGTCGTGCGTGTCGGGGGAGTTAGCCGACACTGGACCACTCGTCCCGCCTAGTGAATCTAAGAGCATGCGAGGAAAAAAGAAGGAAGTCAAGAAAAGGACTTTGCAAAAATCAGATATCCCGTCGGGGAGTCGATCGAGTGCTATGAAGCCTAAATCTATGATTCCGGCGACGGTCTCGAGACCTCCGGATGAAGCCAACGTTGACGAAAACGTGGAAGTTTCTGCCATGGAACTTCGCATGAACAAAATGGAGGCCATGCTGGCTCGCGTGGTGGCGGCCATCCCCGGCCCCGCTCAAACCCAAAGCGGCAACTTTTCAGACGAGTCAGCAGATTTAGAGGACGTTGAATCAGATCACGAGGGGGAGCACTACACATGTGTCCCAAACATCGCAGCTAAGTTTGCTGTCCCCACTGGACTGGGGGAACCAGTGGATGAGGAAATTGCTAATTCTGCATCTTACTTGATAATGAACAGATTGGAGGACAAGGTCCTTGCGGATACGTCGGCTAAATACTTGCCCCCAAGTAACTGTGAATATTTAGACACTCCAAAGGTAAACTCAGCAATCTGGGACAATCTTACTCAGCGTTCTCGTACTCGGGATTTGAAACTTCAAAGAGTCCAAAGATCCTTGACCAGAGGACTGTCAGCATTCACACAGTCTCTCTCATCCCAAACAATTACGGAAACACAACAAGACTCCTTGGCTTTGATTTGTAACGCCAACTTTGAATTGAACAGCCTGAGAAAGGAGTTTATCAAGCCAGAGATGAACGAGGCGTACAGCCATTTATGTAAACCGTCCGCCCCAGTCACGAAGTATCTCTTTGGAGATGACCTGGGGAAGCGTATGAAAGACCTCAAGGAGGAGCAACGGGCGGCGGCCGGAGCGGTAAAACAAGACAAGCCCGCTTACCGTTCACACCAGCGATACCACCCTTACAAACCCCAGAACTTTTCGAAGTTCCAAGACGCAGGATGGACTTCATCCGCCGGCCCGAGCAAGCAGAGTTTTCAGAAACCTTCTTACCAGCGTTCAAGTTCTTTCCGCCAGCCTTTTTTAGGCCAGGGGCGGGGACGGGGAAAACCACCCGCTCAACAAAATCAGCAACAGCACAGCCGACAAGGCCAGAGGAAGTAGCTGCCATCATACCCGACGAGGTAGGTGGAATATTTTCTTGTTCTAGATCTAGATCTAGTCCCGATTCAATTAAAGATTTGAATAGTGACCCTCCTGTGGGAGGTCGACTGAGGCTTTTCTACCATAAATGGCGTGATATTACATCAGATCCCTTTATCTTAGAGGCGGTCAGAGGTTACAAAATTGAATTCAATCAGGTTACACAAACCCTGCAGGGGACTAAACCTTTTATCCTTCATAAAAGGAATAAATCAGAAACCGAGATCATTAGTAAGGAAATAGCTAAACTTCTCGATAAAGAAGTGATTGAACCATGTGCCCGACAGCAGGGTGATTTCTTATCTAACGTTTTCACTGTACCAAAGAAAAATGGTAGTATGCGTTTGATCCTCGATCTTTCAAGATTGAATCTGAATCTTATGACCCAACATTTCAAAATGGATAGCATACATACAGCAACTTATTTGCTGACCCAGAATTGTTATTTAGCCTCAGTCGATCTACAGGATGCTTACTATTCGGTCCCAATCAGCAAGAACTCCAGGAAATTCTTGAGATTCATATGGCAAGACAAATGCTGGCAATTTAAAGCTTTACCTAATGGTTTGAGCACGGCACCAAGGCTATTCACTAAGATTTTGAAACCAGTGTTTGCCCATTTACGACAATTGGGACATACAGTTATTGGTTATCTGGATGATACATTAATTGTGGGTGAATCTAAGAGACAGGTAGAATTGGCAGTTCGTAATACTACAGAAATTCTCAGTGAATTGGGGTTCAAAGTTCATCCTGATAAATCAGTGCTGGAGCCTCAGCAAGAGCTCCGATTTCTCGGGTTCATTCTGAATACTAGTAATATGACAATTGGCCTACCAGAGGAGAAGATCCAAGACATATCTGGGATCTGTCGGGACTTATTACACATGAAATCCCCGTCTATCAGACATGTAGCTCGAGTCATAGGGAAACTCGTAGCCACTTTTCCAGCGGTTCAATTTGGTCCCTTGTTTTACCGCAGTCTAGAGAAAGACAAAACAGTAGCCCTGAAGGTAAACAAGGGACACTTTGATAGACATATGAACCTCTCTGACGAATCAAAACTTGAACTGTTATGGTGGACCAAATTATCTAGTAGGGCCCCATCACCCATTAGAAGAGAAAGTCCTACCCTTGAAATCCGTACGGATGCGAGCGGAGCTGGATGGGGGGCAACCAACATGCAAGTTGAAACAGGGGGTAGATGGAATGAGAGTGAATTGGTCAGAGCAAAGAACAACGAAATAAACTATCTGGAAACTTTGGCAGTAGGATTAGGTTTGAAGTCGTTCTGCTCTGACTTACGTGATGCCCACGTGCTTGTCAGATCAGACAACGTTACAGCTGTCACTTACTTGAATTGTATGGGCGGCTCCAAATCACTTGCCTGTAACAAAGTAGCACACGAGATATGGGAATGGTGCATTGACAGAGACATTTGGATTAGTGTAGCCCACTTACCAGGCCGAGAAAATACAGAAGCTGATCGAAAGTCACGCAAATTTAATGACAGAACCGAATGGATGCTTAATAGAGAAGATTTCCATAAGGTAGTTTCCTTTTTTGGACTGCCTGAGATTGACCTGTTTGCATCTAGATTAAATGCACAGTTGAGTAGGTATGTCTCTTGGCTACCAGACCCTAACGCAGAATCAGTGGATGCTTTCTCACTGAACTGGCGAGAATTCAATTTCTATGCATTTCCCCCCTTCTGCCTCATACCCAAATGCCTCCAAAAGATTAGAATGGATAAGGCACAAGGACTGCTGGTTGTCCCAAATTGGCCAACTCAAGCATGGTTCCCTTGCATTAAGGCGATGATGAAAGGGGAACACTACTATTAAAGAGAAAGGTCAGCCTTCTCACTCAACCTGTTTCTAATGTACCGCACCCCTTACATGAACGTCTTGATCTTCTTTGTTTCAGATTATGCGGGGATCCTTTAATCAACATGGACTAAGTACAGAAACAGTGGACATTCTCACAGCATCATGGAGATCTTCAACCAAAAAGCAGTATACCATTTACATCAAGAAATGGATACAGTTCTGTGCACAACACAAAGTGAGCCACCTTCAAACCAAGGTTAACACTGTTTTGGAATTTTTAAGTAATCTTTTCCAGAGTGGAACTTCCAGTTATAGTGCAGTCAACACAGCACGCAGTGCCCTCTCGTCTTATGCCGTGTTAGAGGATAATACGTGTACAATTGGAAACCACCCACTCATTTGCCGACTACTCAAAGGCATATTTAACCTGAAACCACCGAAAGCTCGATACACAAGCATCTGGGATGTCAACATTGCCCTGAAATACATGAGGAAACTTTCGCCAGCGACATCGTTGAATCTAAAGGCACTCACCCTCAAACTGAGTCTGTTAATGGCACTCATATCAGCGCAGAGGGTACAATCTCTGCATTTTTTGAAACTAAGTACCATGGAACTTAAACAAGGTTCTGCAACATTCTGTGTAGACGATGTCATTAAACAGACAAGACCAGGTTCAACAGGTCTCATGCTGCATCTTAAGGCTTACCCGCCAGACAGACGTCTGTGCATTGTTAACTATCTTAAGCAATATATTAGCAGGACAAAGAATTTGAGGAATCAGGAAGATTATCTCTTCATTAGTTTCTCTAAACCTCACCAAAGAGTTACATCGCAGACAATTTCCAGGTGGATCAAAGAATCCCTGACAGCTGCTGGGATTGATACATCTGTATATAAATCACACTCAACACGTGCGGCAGCGGTCTCTGCAGCGAAGAGAGCAGACCTGCCTATTTCCAATATCCTCACCCAGGCAGGGTGGGCGAACGAACAGACATTCAGAAAGTTCTACGACAAACCTTTAGTGAAAGGACAAGGAGCCTTCACAACAGTGATTTTGCAACAATAATCCTGTAAAAGATACAAGGTACATCTTTTATCTATACCTCTAAATACTAGTTTTTTCAAACGTATTTTGTACAACGGCCAAACGTTACTGCTGTGCTTCGAAATCTCATGTAGTCTCTTCAACGAGACATACGAAGTAAAATAGAAAGATTAAACGAGAACTTACCGTTTCAAGTTTGATCTTTATTTTATGAGTGTCGAGGAAGAGATTACATGCCCTCCGCTCCCACCCTATGTTTTCACAGGTAATTAAAGTTCTCTGCATCTTTCTACGGGTTCAGCAGTCACATTTGGTGCTTCGAAGTATGTGCGCATGCGCGAAGGCGGGATCTCATGTAATCTCTTCCTCGACACTCATAAAATAAAGATCAAACTTCAAACGGTAAGTTCTCGTTTAATCTTTCTATTATTAGTTATTATTTTTATTTTTTAGGGGGGCGGGGGTAAGGATGGTCAACAATGAATTGAATAATGCCATATTGATCAGCCATTGTTGCACGCTAAGAACAATAAATGAGAATGATAAACAGTTGCACACTTTAAAGCATTTAATTATCCCAATAGTACTTAAAATGACATTAAAGAGAACAACACTCCAGTTACATCCAGTCAGTTTAATTTTCTTGATTTCTCTATTTAACCAGAGCGAGTCATCATCATCTGACATCGAAGCATCAAAAACTGCTATGGAGTCAGCCATCCAGGCAGCACTGAAACAGCGAACAGAGCCTGCATCAGAACCTGAACCTCTCCAAGAAACCAAACAAACGAATAGCGAGCCGAGCAACGAGGAAACTGCAAGCCACACTGTACAGGAAGCTCTATCACCGTCGGACAAGCCTGAGCAGCAAGACAGGACAGAAACTGATTCAACAGACTCTCACAATGTCACTTCAAAGGAACAAGTGAATTGAAATGCTCACAATCCATTTTGCAAGAAATGTTGATATTATTCCAGCAGATTGAACACACTGACTTTAATCATTTGTAAGGACCTGGATGAGCATATTCTTACTGCTGAAGGGATGACAATGCAGAGGGAGACAGAGACAATCAGATTTTCCAAACTAATTGGTTTGGATTTGTTTTAATTTCGCTCATATTGTGCATGATTGACACAATGGAAATATTTTTACTAAAAGGCATTGATATTTACAGATTTTAATTGTTTTAATTTTAATTTATACATGCATTAGCACAATCATGCCCAAAGATTTTAAAGTTGCTCATGCGTAGGTACATAGAGGGCAGCACACGGATGCAGTGGCGTATGCAGGATTTTTTCAAGGGGGGGGTTTTAAAATCAGGTCCAAAATTTCGCAACGACTCAGGAAAATTTGAAAATCGCGCCGGCCAAAAAGTCGCTCGGGGGGGGGGGGGGGGGGGTAAGCGGACACTTTTTTTTTTTTTTTGGTCCCAAAAAAAATCAACACAAAAACAACTCACCCGACCGCTGAATAAGCGGGGGGGGGGGGGGGGGGGGGGGGGGGTAAGAGGAGACACTTTTTTTTTTTTTGGTCTCGAAATTTGACAATTTGACAATTTGCTCCGTCGGGGGGGGGGGGGTAAGGTCACCTTTCTTAGGTCAGCCATGGGGGTAATTTTTTTTTTTTTTTTTTTTTTTAAATAATTAAAAAAAAAAAAAAAATCCAAAGGGGGGGGGGGGGGGGGGGTTTTAGGGATTTTTTAGGTGGGTTTACACACATAAAAATACCAAAGGGGGGGGGGGGGGGTTAAACCCCCCAAACACCCCCTGCGTACGCGCCTGCACGGATGTATGCATGGGAGCGCAATACCGGTTGGCTCAGTGTTATGTAGTGATCGCCAAGTAGGGGCAGTGTAAAACTACTTCTTAAGTCACTTGAGTTTTTCCCCCACACTGTTCTTGTTTTCCAGTGATCCGTTAAAGCTTCCCAAAGCTAACTTGCCCAAACACAGCAGTGTAGAGACTGGGGCAGGCCCCCTGTACATGGATTCAGCTCAATGTTCCAGTACAACATAATGTCCCTTTCTTTTGTTTTCTAAAAAAAAAGAACCATTAAATGATAGCGATAACATAAATAATCTGTAGTCAGTCATGTGAAATTGTCATTACTTGATGAAACAATGGATAAAAGTCTGTTGGATGCAACAAATCGCATGGATTGCTCTTTGCTCACACAGACTGTATAATAAATGCAATCTTGCAAACTTTTGTCCTGCTCAGGATGTCACAACTCCAGCTACAAATTTGCAATACCCATAATTTGGAGGAGTGTGTCTACCAAACTTTGATTTAAAAAAAAAAAAGATCTAATATACAAGCAGTTTGTCAATTTTTGCAGATAATTGATTGCAGAGTGATCCTTAGCAAAATATCAACCAATTGCTAATTTATCCATGTTACAGAGCCCAGTTCTTCACTTTTGTCACCATGAGCTTTTCATGTAAAATGATTTCAGTGGTATTGGGGAAATAAGAACTATAGAGTTAGAAAATCATGACTATATATTTTAGCGATGTTGTAATGATGATCAATGAAAAGAAATGCCATTAGAATGCAACAAAACTCTTTGTTCACGATAAATACATGTACATGTATGTAACGTCTCCACATTATCTACTATTGATCTTTGGATCATGTACCTTGCTATATTTGCCAAACTACCAGTCCGACATTATTCAATATTATGAACATTGTGATCTGCATATGTTTTAATATTGGTACATGTTATAGGAAAATGTTGGATTTTACTGTCACAAGGGCTGTAATCAGTACACTTTCCTCTCTCTCCTTAGTATTGTCAGTGAATTATGTTTCTATTACAAATCTACAATCTAAAATTAAAAAGAGGCAAATAAAAAAAGAAGACACAAACTACCTGTTTGTTTTAAAATTAGCTTTTTATTAGTCAATTACATACAGTCAACAACTAAATTATTCATAGCCCTTGTAAATTTGACGGCTTTTTTGGTGTGTTTTTCGCAACTCAAAGAAAGATGAACTGGTTGAATTTGGGTCTTTGTTAATTTAATTGTTAACTGTATATGTCAGCAGTGTGAACATGACGTGAAACGGGAGGAAATAAAATATGCATTCATAGAGTATCAATCGAGGAATGGGCATAAAGGAACAACTAGCTAGCAATAATTACTACTAGTAACCTACATAACTTTAAACATATTTCAGAAAGGGGTGTCATGCATGCTATTCCCACATATTTTGTTTTGTTTTCAAGAATTGAATTCCCCCCCCCCTCCCTCTTGATACAGGGTTGTAAATCCTCTCCCTAATGCAGTCAAAGGGTCTTACACAGGCAAGCAATAAAAACTCATCATTTTATGTAGCTCCTCACCCCCACAACTCCATCTGTAGCATCACATAGATGTGTAATAAGGTATTAAACAAGGATCACAAATTAAACCCATACATTGTGCCGGTGGTTAATTTTATACCTGGCTGCTAAGAAAGCATAAATGCTTGTTAGTAAGCAACCAGGCGGCCGGCGGCTTTAGGTACTTTCCGAGGGACCTGGTAATGAGGATTAATGTCTTACCAAAGGGTACTAGTGCATCGACTTGCGTTTCGAACTGGGGTCACCGGATTACGAGACCACTGCTCTACCAACTGAGCTATCGCGCCTCCTACAACTTGAATCATTCCATAGTTGTTGTTTTTTAACTCTGTAACCAAAGAACAAGACTCGCGTCCAAATATATTCATCATGCTTCATGTCATTCTTAATCCAATATAAATTTCACATTCAGTAACATACAAGTTATACCCACATTGGTATACAAACTTTGAAGCAAACAAAGAACAAAACAAATACAAGCTTATATAAATTATTAGCAACTATAAAGCAACTGACTTTTGGTAAAAGAAGCTAGATACATTTACACTTTAAATATAGGAAACTGTAGGCAAGTATTAGCTACATGTAGCATTTGGTTCAAAGTATTGACAGTATCAAAACTGTTCAAACGACACCAGCTCAATACCTCTCCAAAATACATAATTTGCTGCCATGTCAAGCATTCCTATTCCTGCCTACCAAAGAAAAAAGAAGTGATGTTCTTTTTAAACAAACAATAAGCCAATCCGGAATACTATCTTTGGACTGGCAGATAGATAAAGGTCATTTGTACAAAACTGTGTAAGCCATCAAGACAAATTCTGGACACATGTCCATGAAGTTTATGTGATAATTGTTCATTTGTGCACCATCAGTACATTGTTCTAAAAATGTACCAAGTGCAACTTCTCCATGTTTAAAAGAGCTTTGGTTTGGTTTGGGGTTTTTTTTTTTTTTTGGAGGGGGGGGGGGCATTTTGTACATGTGCTATCTTCAAACTGGTCTAATTTGAGAAATGAGAACTAGGGCAAATTTTACTTTCTACCTCCAGTTAACACCTTAGAATAAATACAAAATAAATACACTGCAAAGCTTGCACACCATTACCAGCACTCTGGTAGGACTCAATCTTTTTGTTTCTGTTAAAGCATTCAGAATAAAATTTCAGCTAATGAAATTCTAGATAATTATAAGAGTCTTGGAACATGGTGTCTTAATCCAGCCAAAAATGCAGTTTTTCTGTACAATAGGTGTTTCGGTCGTCTCCTTTTTTTTAATAAAAAATTTATTGATTAAGGAACATTACACGAACAAAAGAAAAAAATCTCAGAATCTTTACATAATAATGCCCATGAAAAAAATAGAGAGAGTAATATGTGGGTGCTACATTTTATCTGAAATGCAAGGGTAATCCAACCATTGTAATACGTTCACTTGTATGAAAGCAGAAAAATATGAGAAACAGAATGAAAAAAGTTTGAAACAAATCAATAATTTGTAAGAAATGCTTATCTAACTTTTCTGTATCTGTGAACTCAATCTTCTTTTTTAATGGGTCTCTAACAGGGACTCTACTAAATTCTGTGCTGCACATTATGACAGTGCACTTCTGTCTCAAAAAGTTGCATACATCTGGGACCCATTTCACAAAGCCTTATTTCAATGACAAATGAAAAAAACCACTGACAAATCTGATGATAACCAATCAGAACCAAGGATTTATCTAGCTTATAACAAAAACTCATTTGTCACTGATGACAAGTTTTGTGGAATGGGGCCAAATGTGTACAAAATCAGGCAAATTGCTGTCATACACATCGCTGAGGCCAGATACTCCATAATTATCCCTTGTGGAATGCAACATACACAAAAGTGGAACACATTTCATGATCACCATCATGGTGATCTTACAATGAATGATGATGGTGGTGGATGGCAGCTTACACATGTATGTACTTTTATGTGAGCTTTGATTTAATACATTGCTATGTACATGTGAAGGAAGCACACAAAATTTTGATCATAAAATACTTATGACCATGTTATTCATTACATAATTACAAAAATTTGGCTGACAGCAGTTGCTCTTATATAGTTCAAGTTATACCGTAACGCAGTGCTTTGGGGGGCTCACATTCCTTGTCTAGTGTTAGGCCCTATTATAATATTTGACCTTCCTTGTTAGTTACTCCCCACCCCAAACTGCAAATGAGATCAGTGTTATCACTGTAACTGCACACAGAGTCAATGACATTTATATCATTTAGACACATATAAATATTTTATGTTAAATAAAATGAATAAAAATGTTATGAAAAAAAATAATTGTTACGTTATCATAGCAATAAGATATTATCTTGGAATTTTAACACTTTCATTACCCTTTAATCTTTCACTTTTGACCTCTTCGACTCAAAATCTAATCAGTTCATATTTGCATGCTCATACATACTTCATCCAAGTTTAGTTTAAATTGCTTAATAACTCTTGTTAACTTAATGCTGTTATGAGCCATTTTCTGGCATTTTAAAACATTTTTATGACCTTTGTCATTCTAAATCTAATCAGTTTATGCTTGCATACTTGGATGTACTTGCTCCAAGTTTGGTTAAAATCTGTGTAATGGTTCTGGAGTTATGAAAAGTGGGACAGACGGATGGACGGACAAACAACCCAAAACATAATGCCTCTGGCACCACCTTCGATGCAAAAACATACAAAATGAAGGTGTTCTTGCACTCCAATACAATGTAAGTAAATTATACACACATATCTCCTTATCAAAGTGGAGCATTGGTCATATAAATATTTAGCAGCCTGAATAGTCAGCACAATTCACTCTTAACCAACTCTGTGCTTATTCCAAGTTTCCAACAGAGATAATACTTTTCTCACATCATCTACCATACAATGTTTCCTCTCTCCTTGTGATATTGCAATAAAAATACCCATCTTTTTAAAACTTGTCAAGACTTTCACCAACAAAATGCAGCCTTGGCAATAATAAACTGGGAAAAAATAGCGACCTATCTATCTATTTGTAGCTGTCTGCCTGAAGCCTCTCTCACATGATAAATACTTTCTCTAGCTCGTCCATGGAGTATACTTTCTTCGTCTTGGGACATATAATTCGACCGTGGTTATCAGCAGCAAAGTTCAGTAGTGACTGTAGAGACAAAAAGAAAAAGATAGATATCTATGAGTGCTCAGAATGACAAAAATGTTAAAATTTAGGTTATGATGACAGTCAATTTGTTTTAGATGGGAGACAGGTATTGGACGTAATTGAACTTGTTTGGGGGGGGGGGGACATGTGAGAAATCTTACAAATTAAATATTAAGATTATCATCTTTAACCATAAAATCGATCGGACCGAAACGTTCTCTAGAAATCAATATCTACCTTTTAACTGAATAATTAATATTCTCTTAATTTACAAGTATATTTCATTTGGTTTAACCTAACAAGCCTGAACAGAGAGGCCCAGACATGTTGAAGTCCCATAATATTGGACTTCATAATCTGAAGCCTTAAAAATCCTTAAATGAAGGCTGGCAGGACCTTACTGATATCGGGCAATACACTGAAAATAAGCATCCCAGATATTTGTGACCCAGCGCCCCAAAACCACCCACAAATCAGCAGATGTGATTTTTCAGTTTAGGTCCGATGTGAAAAGGCAGATATTGTCAAAATTATGATACAGTCAAACCTGCTTTAGTGACCACCAGTCTACAAAGACCACATTTTTGTGTACTTCGAAAATTGTTTCTCATTGAAACATGTACTAAAGGAACCTGTCTACAAAGATCATCTGTCTACAAAGGCCACTTTTTGTTTTTTCCCTTGGGCGGTCGCTATATACAGGTTTGACTGTATATGTATCCATCAGAATTGAGTGTTCCTCCCCCTCTATAAGAATATAAATGAAGTCTAGTCCCCAAAAATGGTGCTTTTGAGGAAAGGTTAATTAACTAAAGTTTGGAGTCTATAGAAGCACTCTGACTCACAGGGTATTGTGCAGAGGGACAAAAGGAGGATTTTAAGCTCAATAGTCAAACAGAAGCAACAGGTGGCCTGTACTACAACTGAAGAAGAAGCTTCTACAAAGGGATAATCTGATTATCCTTGAACTCGGTGTACAAAAGATACTTGTACATGCCAATCATTATGTTCTAGTATCAATACAAAACCTCACTCTATTGAAGATTATACATGAGACAAGTAATCTGGGTCAAGAAGTACAGTAACACATCAATCTCTGCATGACCATTGAGCCATTGAGCTCTCACTGAAAATCAAACTGCAAGTTGGTGTTGCTTTTGTGATGGATGGTCACATTTCGATACTAGGTTCCATGTATGTACATATTTAACTTTCTAAAACATCATACCTTTTCGCCATACACATAGCCATTGGGTAGCATCATGGGTGGGTTGTGCTCATTCATCACATGACCTGTAAACATCCATTAGAACAAAATACATCATCTCCAGTGACAATATAATGGTTTGCAGTGTTTACAAAAACACATTTTAAATTGCCTGGGGTTTATTTCTAGTTAAAAACAAGATTTAAATACAACCCATATATAGACATGTGTTATAAATTTGTTTGAAATTTGTTTTCAATACCTCGGCATGACATTTGTCTGGTGTTGTTATATTGACAAATTTATACTGATTATATTCAGTACACCAGATTTTCCTGTATCAGTATGATACTATTATCAAGGATATCATTCTGACTCACACAGCTCATATTCGTAAATAACATGGACAAAACCAAAAATATTTTTGAAATAGCACCTACAAACGTGTTGATTAAGAATCATAAAGCAAAATTAACATCAAATACAGCTGAAAATAGAAGTCACTTCTGCAGAAATGAGAGATTTTTTTCCTACTCATAATTATGAGAAATAACATTCAGAATATAATATGAGCAACAACATTACTAAAAAAACATTAACAACAGTTCAGTCCTTAAGGCGACGTTTGAAATTAGAATCCGGTTCCATTCTTGTTGACGCCCCCTTCATTTCTCAAGCGTACCAAAGGTCTGTGTTCATTCTTTTGCACATACAAACATGACACTATTTGTTCTTAGATGAGATTTAAACCAAAAAAATCCTTTGTCATCCTTGTTATTATTTCAGGGTGTTTCAATTTCCTGTCATTTCTTACTTTTGTGGTTCAACTATGTTTGTAATTTTGTCTATACATTTGTTCCATTGGGGGGTCGTTTCTTGAATCTCCTTCATAAAACTACCCCCCAGGGATCAATTACAGCGGATATCTCTATTCAAAGACGATTTTTGTTTCCTTTTCCACCTTTGACAAAAGAAGCATTCCTCTCTCTCTCTCTCTCTCTATCTTTGACAATTACAACATTAATGAGTCTCCAATGACTCCTTTCTCATTCCCATTACCAAGCCAGTCAAAAAAATGAATTAAGAAGGCAAGGCTTCTACATTTCAACATAGACAATATGATGTGGTTTATTTGATGTATTGCGGTTTGCACATTGGGCAATACCTCTTGACTTGTGAAGGGGATTTCCCCTTTTTTGTTCTTTCATCATCTCATTTATAGGTCTTTAAAGATTCCTTTGTTATTCTCATCACCAAGCCAATGAATATAATGAATTTAGAAGGCAAGACGACCCAAGAGTCAACGCTTTTTGAGACAATATGATGTGGTTTATTTGATGTATTGCGGTTTGCACATTGTGCAATGCATCTTGACTTGCAGTTGACTTGTGAAGGGGATGTCCCCTTTTTGTTCGTTCATCATCTCTTGAAAACACTAAAATACTTCCTCTTTCATTTTCTCATTCGTTATTTTTCAATCAATTCTTCAATTTTTGTTTGTAACGTCATCTAGTCATTAATCAATCTTACTGAACTATCTCATTAAGATGATATGAATGAACAATGCAATAAATGTACTTTAGTGTTCCTTGCTCCACATAATGTAACTTGAAATTGGGACCCCCCCCCCCCCTCCCACTGCTAAGGCAGTAACTCTTACTGCTCATTCTACTACTACTACTACATCTTCTACATTTTAATATATTTAAAGTCTGTCTGCACAAGTTTGGCCAGGATGGATTAGACCACCCTGCTGGTCACTGGCAGGTGGTTATCTCATCAAATCTGATCTCAATTAACATCAGAAAAAGGGGACCATGGGGGATCAACAGTCACTTGTTAGGCATTGTTGGCTATATAGAGGGCGCAAGTAGCTACAAGTAGTGCAGACAGTTTATAACTAAAGTATATTTCTGATAAAGATAAAAGACAGAACAAGAGAGTGATAAAGAGATAGGAAAGGAAAAAATAACTTTAGAAGCACCGATCTGCCATACCTGATAATGAGCATACTAGTCTTGACTGAGCACAGTGGGCAAATGGCAAGCTCTTGGCCAGTTCATTCAGGTTCTTGCTACACGCAGGGCAATCTGCATTCTTAGAATGCTCAGTGTAGCATTGTCTAAACATCACTGTAGTCAAGGAAAACATCCCTCTCTTAAAGGGCAATCTAGCCTTTGTAATACGTTCATTTGTATGAAAGCAGAAAGTGATAAACAGGTTTGTGACAGTTTGAAGGGAATGAAATCATCCTTTCACAGCATTTGCGCACATTTTGCAATTTTGCTCAATGACTTGATGCAGAGCTAAAAAAAAAAGAACAAAACAAGAACAAATGCATGGGCAGACAGAGCAATTGTTTCTGCATGTAATATTGTACTGTTACCTTACACCATTAGGTGCTAGTGTTTTTTAAAGGATAATAAACTGTGAAATCCTAAAATTGGCATTAGAATCAGTTCAAAATTACTGTTTCTCCATGCAAATCATAATTGTTTTCCTTCTTTTTAACACCACAAGAAAACTATATCAAACATTTGAATGGTTAATAATCATAGATCATTAAGGTAAAAAAAATATATATACATCTAGAAGGCCTACTCCAGCTTCTGTGCACACTTCATCTTATGTTAGTGTGTCTACCACACTACATTTAGTCTACTTGCAAGTCACCTTTTACATTTGTTTACAGAGCAATTCAGGTATTTCACCTTGCAATATCTCACGACAAGAAATATCTGATTCTGCTTTTCTGAACACAGGATATCAGCATTACAGCCTTAACATACATAATAAATATATACATTTGCCAATGGTCCCCTTAAAGTAGATATTCATTGATTTTAAAAACTAACTTTATTTTCATTATTGCAAAGTTGAAACTTTGATTCGACAAGGTTATCAAAATTCCATGCTTGGAAACATTCGAAGTACTGATTATCATAAATTACAAAACGCTTAATTACAGCCCCGGCATAGCACCTGAAGAGCTCTCCGAACGCTGCTGAGATGTGTGAGATCACAGTATGGACATGACTTGCACAAGCAGACGATGTCCCATGACATCTCACATATTTTCAGTGCCTGTGTTTTCATCTTCTCTCGAGTTCTTTCTCTTACTTCACTACCGTCAGGCTAAATGTATAATCTATTGCCTCACTCTAAACCCCGCGCATGGCTTTATTTTGATGAAAAATGCAGCGATACAAAAATAAAGGAATCTGTCGCTTGTAAACAAAATAAGACGCCATTGTATATTCAGCTGCACACACCGGGATATGTTCGGCGTTTCAAGAGGGAACAAATGCCGTCCTTAATATCATTCCGGGGGGGTTTCAATTTGAAAGTCTGGTTTCTTTGATTGTTAATTAACCCCTATCCTGAATATTTACAAGCAAAAGATTTTAGTTATCAGAATCAGGTCATATCCCCTTTTGAATGGTTTGACATGCCATTACATTTATATACACTAAAATCATTATAATTTGAGAAATAATAGCTTTGCAATTATGTTTATTCTCTATGGGATGTCGTCTGCTTGGGCAGTGTTGGTCCATATAGTGACGTCATTAAAACATCGTTATTTTTCCGGCGAATCTCTCGTAGATCCCAGCTGCTATGGAGGTGGTTGTATTTGTATTTTTATAAATCACCCGATATGTAGTTAACCTAAAACTTGTACGATGGTCATCTGTTAGCTTACCAGTTTCTAGTGATACATTAGTTGAAATATTTGTGATCTTCTTTGAATTTCACCTTTAAGCAACACTCTGACAGGCCGAATAGAGGACAAACCTTGATCCTATAATCAATAGGTTAATAGTAGTTAGAAAGGATACGGTGTCTTCATAGCTGCTAGACCAGCCTCTAGTGTCAGTGTTAGTACTGGTGTCGTGTTGAACTGGAAGAGCTTATAGTTCTCCTCACGGAACTGACCAACCAGTTTTTGCCATCGTAGATCGTCAAACAGTTCCTGTGTAATTAGGTAGATATCAAAGGGTAATCATCAAATGCATGGTTTATGAAAAAATAAAAAATGAATTATAAGGATCACGGTACCAGAACAGGGGTTTCTGTATGTTGGATAGTAGTTAATTACACTTATTTGCACATGTATCTAGAAATGATGAATACAGACCCCTTTGCCATGCATTTATCAAACTGCAGGTAGATGTAAATTGAAATGTAAATTGAAAAGCAAATTGAAATGCAAATGTTGGTTGCAAAAAGAGGGGAAACAATCTGGATTGTGGTTTACCAATACTTCTATGAATGGTGAAGCAGAAATAGCAGGGTACTAAAAGCCGTCAAGGGCAAGAAGAATCAAATCAGCTCTGAATCTGGGCAGATATTGCCAGAATCACAGGAGTTCTTTCTTATTTGCTTGTTAAGTACAAGTTAGCCCAATGTTTCACCTTATATTCTATGGCATCAATTACCGTGCAATATTTCTGATTACTCATTCATAGCATAATGGCTGATAATGTCCCGCCGTGTAACTCACTTCTAACTCTTCTATTAAAAAAATTCGTTCACTGTTTTCTTGACTTGCCAAATAAATAATGAATAAATCATCTTGTTTTATATAAATTAAATTCATACAATTTTGAGTTCTTATATAAAAGCACTTCAAGAGGACTTGCCTCAGCACTATTCTGAATTGTTATGATGCAGTAAATAGCTGGTTTAAACTAGCCAAAAACAACAACAAAAACAATAAAGCAAACAAACAAAACATCACAACAACTTCCTGAAATCTTATGCAAGGAAGAGCAAGAACAGATATGTCGTGGGACTATTTCTTCCATTATTCCAAGATACTAGCACAATTTCCTGCTCTTTGGTCTCACATCACCCAGTCGTTCCATAAATCTTTTACTTGTATTCTATATGAGATCCACACTCCTGACATTTTTACTCACTTTGTATTCTGATATGTTTGGATTGGATGGGAATGCCAGAAGAACCATGATCTTCTTGATCTGTTCCCCGTCCAGAGAACCAAAATACTTCCTTGCATGCCTGACTGCCTCCACACGGAACTCACATCGTATCAACTCAATGAACTCCTGCGTCCGTAGGTTGACCTCTAATGTGCTCTACAAGAGAAATAGATGGAATAAAAAATGAATAACTAGATAGATCTTTGACTTTTACAAACCAAAACCGAAGGAAATTTTAAAATTCAAGTTTGATTGTAATTCATTTACAGGTTCTCAGAATATCGTGATTACAAGCTATTTTTCATAAACATGTATGACCCTTTGATCTTTGACCTGATGACCCTAAAATCTAATCAGTTCATAAGCTCTGCAAGATACTATATGACCCAAGTTTGGTGGGAATCCATCAATCGGTTCTTCAAATAACGTGATCATGAGAACGGGGCGTACAGACGGACGTCTTGAAGTACGGACACCCCCAACAAAATAATGCCCAAAATGGGGGTATTCAGTGGATCCTCGTTATAAACACTGTTATAAAAACTCTCTTAACATAATAATCACGTAGGTCACAGTTTATTGTATTCCATTTGTATTTGAAGCCCTAAGGTGACAAGATTTCAATCTATTTACAAGGAGTACAGAGTACTCTCTGTATCTGATCAAAAAATGGGGGTCTGGCTGCTAGACTATATTGAGGTCTTATCAGTAGACTATATATCAAACATTCACAGCTTTGTATGTTATCTCCTCCTTCACATAAAGCAGGACTGCACTACTTGTAGCTACTTGCGCCCTCTATACAGCCAACAATGCCTAAGCCGTACCCGTTGATCCCCCATGGTCCCCTTTTTCTTATGTTAATTGAGAGCTGATTTGATGAGATAATCACCTGCCAGGGACCACACAAGGAGGTCTAATCCCTCCTGGCCAAACTAGTGCAGATAGGCTTTAAGCATACATTTCTGTTGAATCAATGCTCCACGTGAGGGTATAACCAAAGTTTTGCTCCCCACCTCAGGTGGTTCATCAAAGCAACACAAATAAGAGTAACTTTTATGGCAACAATTGTATCACTATCAGTTTGATAAACCACACATTTTTGCATGATAGCTAAATTGCAAGTTATAATCAATGCCTGATACAATAGGTTCAGAAGCAAAATGAAATACATGTGTAACCATGATAATAAAATGTTACCTTTATTCTTCTAAGCTTGGTCTTGTTATTGTGACACCATTGTAAACACGGAGCTGTTTCCCTTCTGATAAGAGACTCTTCAACTTCTTTGGAAACTAGGAACAGGTCTATATTTGTCAGTTCCTGGAAAGAGAAAGGACACATATCAGATAAAAAAAAATAATGCGCACAATCGAAAGGTTAAGGGTCAAATCCCAGCATCCTTTGGCAAGACATTAATCCATAGTTTCCCCTTTCTCCTCTCCATCCACTTTGGATAAGGATGTGCTTTGGTCAACTATGTGCTTTTCAATTTTATTCCATTACACTGACAAACCCACACATGACAGCTTAGCTCTTAGTTAAAACAAAGAATAAATATATATAACTTCTTTGAATTATTAACTGAAAAAATAGATTACCGGTACAAAAGTATTTTCTTGTAATACAGTCAAACCTGTCTATAGCGACCGCCCAAGGGAAACACAAAAAGTGGTCTTTGTAGACAGGTTCCTTTCGTACATGTTTCAATGAGAAACCACTTTCAAGGGAAATTTAAAATTTGGTCTTTGTAGACAGGTGATCACTAAAGCAGGCTTGACTGTAGTATGATGTGTAATTTTGTCAGTACAACAGTCTGTTAATATACATGGTAGCTTAAAGCGTTTGTTAATGTACCTCGATTTGAGAATGGCGTGCTAGCTTGACAGCTGTCTCGTAGTAACCCGCCCTCAGGAAGTATTCAACCAGCATTCGGTCTATCCTCTTCTTCTTCCACTGCGAGAGGGCACTACCCGTTGTGGTATCGTGCTCCTTAAGGTGCGCAAGGCGTTTCTTACAGGCCTGGGCACTCTCTTCCTCCAGTGCTATCGCCTCTGCAGCCTGTACGTCAACAAAGACAAAAAGGGCATTAAAGACTACTCATACTAGAGTTGATGGTACTAGTCAGCACAAAATACCATTTATCTATAATTTGGATTTATCACCAAAAAATTAACCAAAGACATTTATGCATCCTGAAATAATCAGATTGAACATATATTACAGTTACTAATATTTGAAATGTTAGCTGGTTTATCTAATTCATGGCTGCATATTGAAATATAGAAAATATAGAATTTGTTTCAAATGAGTGCCAACGTAAATGCCACACCTGTAATGTAGAGATAGCAGATGTAATAGACATCATTGAAGATCCTCATCATTCAAGGTTTACTTTGTTTCTGATGAGTTTTCTATCAAGGCATTACATTTACATGTACAAGTACATCCTCCTCAGTAACTCAATATATGCGTCATGTTTGTTGGCCGGGTGCCCAAGGGCCCCTGGGGACAGGGTGGATGCCACTTGTTATGCAGTTTACAACTGATTTATCCATACTCATTGTAAATTTTTTTTTTTTTTTTTTTTTTCATAACTCAAGAATGAAAGGTGGACTGGTTGTATTAGGGCCTTACATGTAGTTGAATGATTATAGATGTAAGCTTTAACATGTCAGATTCTCGAGAAACATAAATCGGGGTGAATCAATTTTTTCACATACTTCACATTTTGCACAAAACTGTGTAAGAGTATGAATAATTTAGTTGATAACTGTATACACCCTTCTGTATAATACTCTTCTCGATGTCATATTTTTGAATACTTTACCTTTCTCTTTAGTACTGTCAGCTTGTCCACAACCGAATCAAGAAGGGTGACTACAACCCCAACAGTAGGTTCCTTGCCATCTAGACATTTCTCCAGATCATTAGTAACCTGTAATAAACCAGGTTCAAGAATGTAGCCAACGGCAAACCTGTATTCAAGTCATGTGTTTATGCTTAAATTGTTTTTCATCGCACCCGGCTATGTCATTTGTGTGCAGCACTATGAAGAAAACATGTAAAGTTGCACATGTTAAGTTGAGAAAACAATATATAAGAACGATAATATTCATATCTGTGATGCACATTTTTCACATGCATTAAAATTACAATATATGTCTAAAGGTTTGTTCAGATATGACTTGGTTTAAGCAGAGGCATTGTTTTCTAAACGTACCAATGAAAGGCAACTGCATGCAACATAGATCCTATGTAAATTTATTGAGCTCCAATTCAGAAATGTAAAGCATCTTTTTTCTTCTTCTTCTTCTTCCTTTTGAGAACAGACCTCTTTACAGAGTATTATCGGACTATACTGGGGGTGTGTGCAGGTGGACCACTATTTTTTTAATGCATCAGTTTACCAAATCATATCTGAACAGGCTTAAATCCTTAAAATGCAACTTGTAAGTTTGCAAGAGAAAACTTGTAAGTTTGCAAGACGACAGATTATCTTCATCTCTTTTTGCCATTAACCCTGAGTGTTTAAAACCTATTTCAATGTATACAAAATATGAAAGAATATCCCTCTGACAAGCCTCCTTATCTACTCAATAGTTCTCCTGCATGTATCCAGGGATTTCCTTTCTAACCTGCATAACATGTGCCACCTCTCTATCGATGACCTTCTGACAGTTCCGGAAGTTCTTGTTGAGGTTCTCATATGGAACCTGTTAAGGAGTCAATGCAGAGAATAAATGTTTAAGGAAGAAAAACAAAAATTAAACACAAAAAGAAGATGAAGCACTGCACAACTCAATATCCTATGTGTACACATGTACACTGTATATGTGTACATTATATGTGTACCTTATATGTACGTACATAATGTATGTACATTATATGTATCGACAAGTGAAGAAGTAACAATGAAAAAACTTGCAGCGCTAAGCATAACAGGTTAAGCCTCCATTTAAAAAAATATATATTTGAGTTGTAGTGGACTTCATGATGTTTTTGTCATTTCACATTCCTGTACATGATTGTGATAGCCAGATGGATTTTATGTTTTCCTTGAGTACCCAATAAAAAAATATTTAAAAAATGAAAAAAGAAAAATATAAAAATATAAAAAATGAAAAAAACATGGGAAATAAAAAAATACATGTATTCAAATTATCGACGATAAGCCTTTGACAAGTAACCCTTATAATTTTCAGCTCATAGCCAAAATTTCATATATCATGAATCCCCTAGACCCCTACGGTTGTTTCATCGTTTCTTCTTCACTTGTCTATATTTTGTCAACTGTGCAGGACTATTTTTACATGCTTCATGCAATGTGTACCGGTAAGACACTTAAATTGTAAAAGTTGTGGTTTCTATTTTTTCTTATTTGTGTCTCTGATTTTCTGCTTTTAATACAAAAAGAATTTGGACTAGATTTACAATCGGCAGATCCCCAATTCCAATTCAGACATGCATGTTGGAGAAGATTAACGTGGCATACTGCTGTAATGTTCAGGTATAGTCCATGCCAAATGCAACTCATACATGAATACTTGTCTTGATGTGCAGCACAGTATACTTCCTTTCATCAAATCATGTTGCACAATCTGTCTGGCCACAAAACATCTGTTTTCTTCACAAATTCCTTTTTTATCCTTTTTTTGTTGTTGTTGCTTGATTCCTAAACCGCAGAGCCTTATTAAGTTATGAAATTATTAAAAATCGTCCTCAACACCAATGCAGTGTTTCTATTTCACTTGAAAACAAATTCCTTTCAATTCAATTCGCAATTCCTGCAACGTTATCATTGTAATGATTGTAATCCAAGCTTGTAAAGTGGATGTAGGCTTAATGAATAATACTCTCTGCTCTCACTAACTGTGCTGCAGCAATCCTACAGACCCTTAATTTAAAGAGAACTAACCCCAAAGAATAAGTGTAGGTATTCTGAAAAACAAGATGAATTTCTGCCTTTTATTGGACAATAAATCTTACAAACATGTAGTCTACAAGAGATATTATAATGAAGATTTCTTGGAATGATTTAATGCCTTTTAGCATGAAATGGGCACAGCCATTTTCTTGAAAATGTGACGTGGAGTTTACATGTAAGAATATCATGCGCCAAGCTTTTTTATAGGCCTAGAGTAAAGGAGGGGGTAATCGACCATCACCAGTTTTCGGCCGGGCCGTTGGATGCATGGTAAAATTCCTTTAAAATACATCGCATAATATCACATATCCCACACATACCATACCATGCCAGAGTCACTGAAGAACCACATTTGCAATGGAAAATATATCCTAAAATATCACATTTTAGCGATGTAATCGGCAGTCCCGCTACCCGAATCTGAAAAATCAAGTATCTTACGCGTGCCTGTAAAAAATATGGGTACCATAAAATGAGCTTTATTTCAACTATTTTTCAGATTTAGAACCTGATTTTGTGTGAGTCGCAGGCTCAAAAGTATCTCATCGCATGTATTAAATCAATGCAGCCGGACACCGCAATGCACACACGATATCTCTGTCTAATTCAGATTCCAATTTCCGATCACTGCAGCTGCAGAACTAGTTTTCAGCATGGCGAGCTCTGGGGAGCTCTGGCGTGGGATACCTGCTCCGCCTGCTAGTGCTATACAGTGGCGGATCCAGGGGGGGGCCGGGGGGGCCCGGCCCCCCCCCCCCCCTTGAGAAAAAAATCATGTAAAATCACGTGATTTTTACCTTTTTTGGGGGTTGGGCCCCCCCCCCCCCCTGGCGCTCAAGGGGGGGGGGGGGTGCAAATTGAAATTTTTTTAAGAATCAAAAAAAAAAAAATGTGCTCACTACCCCCCCCCCCCCCCCCCCCCCCCCCCCCCCCCCCCCCTGAGCGAATTTTTGGCCGGCGCGTTTTTCAAATTTTCGGGAGCAAAAAAAAAAAAAAAGTTGGGCCCACTCCCCTAAGAAATCCTGGATCCGCGCCTGGTGCTATAGATCAGCATGGAAATGCACGGCGCGCACGCGCGCTTCCTATTGACTTTGTACATGCGACCGAAAACTGGTTCACTATGCCGATAACTGCCTCCGAAACAGTGAAAATTGAAATGAATATTATCATGGCAATTCGTGATTTCTTTCTGGGATTCGTTTTTTGTTTAAATAATAATATTTGCTTCATGATTTGAACAAGAAATGATAATAAATAGGAAGTAAAGAGTCCAAAAAATAGGATTTTGTCTTAAGTGGCCGAAAACCCCCTCCTTAATTTACTCAACCAGGGTGAAGCCTAACTGTTAGGTCAGGGAGATTTTTTCAATTCAATAACAAAACCTGCTTTAGCCTACTTTTCAATTATGAGGGAAAATCATAGCCGAGAAAGTAAAGTACATGTTCTGCAATTCTAGATCTTTATCTGTCAGGAGCTGGCATTTCTTGCAGAATCCAAACAAAATGTTTGATCTTTCGAAAATATCTGGTTGTGCCTCCTATTCCTAATCTTACCATTTTGTTTACGTGCGTCTCTGTGGGGGTCGATATAGGGGGATCGATGGGTGTGTTTACAAATTGATCCACAACACTAAAGAGTGCATACAGTGCAAGTGGAGTCCACAGTACCTCAACCGCCCTCAATACGCACTGCATATTTTCAACTAAAAATCATTACATTTGTACTATGAAAGTCATCAATAGCAATACCTAAATTTGTAAACATGCCTTTAGGCTCATTCCCTGCATTGAAATCTACATACGAACAGATATAATGAGTTTAAATACCTTCAATGTTGCGTGTTCCAGGGTACAAATGTCAGCCATTTTTCTCCGAGTTAGTTTGTTTTGCGCCCTCTATTATCGACCGTATATACCGCCGCGGCGGCCTCTCTGCCGAGCTGCGTTGCCATTGTTCGGCTTCCAACTAATACTTTTGATTAAAGTTTTTTTTAATAAGCTACACGAATGTGATCGCCAACCTACCGATCTTTATTGGATATGTAATTATTTTCATACATAATTTGTACTTCACTTACCTACTGGTATTGACATTGTACTGATTTTGGTGAGCGTTAGCCAGTCAATTTTGTGTAATATAAATTCGGCATTTAGAGACGCTATGCGTCATTCTCCAGACTCCAGAGTAAAAAGTAGCGTTGTTGTCTTGTTTAACCCGTAACGGATTCTTCGTTTACCCTAATACTAGCACCTCATAGGTTTATTTGTGACATTTATTCTTAGGATATTACATTTAACTGTAAAACTTGTCAATTGTGCTTGCTAGCTTGGCCCATTCGCAGATTCCACGCTACACACCAGCGAAGGGAAGTTCTCGATTAATTCCAATAAAACCATTTTTTCTCCCTCACTCTTTCACCGTGCACTGATAGGCAACCCTTCGTTAAAAAGTTGGTCTAAGTGGAAGCAAACATATCCGGGGGATTCCAGTAATCGAACAAATAAGAAAGTAATGAAAATTGACATTCGGGATAAATAACTTTCCCCTTGTCAAGTTCGTCCTGATGTGTAATGCGTAGGCCCTACAAGGAGAACTATAAAAGGTGTCTACACAAAATAAAAGAATAACATTTTCTCACTTATCGATCATGGCAAAGCCATATCAAAATGGCTATGCCATCATGAGTTACAAAATATATATAATGGCATATGTTCTTTACTTGCTTAACATGCGGGGGGTTATACTTTTACTCAGTCGAAATCCGGAAGTACGCGTTTAAGGGTATTTTCCTTGATCCTGACTCCGAATTGAAAACTGGTCGGGAAGCCGATTGTCGTTACGTTAGCTTGCTAATGTAAAAACACATTAAGCTCGAATGTCAATATTCATGACTTTCTTCTTTGTTCGATTTCAGAACCCCCCCCCCCCCTCCCGTATTTGTTTGCTTCCTCCTCGGACCAACCTTTTCATGAAGGGGTGCCAATTAGTGCACGTGACAGAGTGAGAAGAGGGAGAGAGAGAGAGAGAGAGAGAGAGAGAGAGAGAGAGAGAGAGAGAGAGAGGGGAGATACAAATAATGTTAAGAAAGAGACCAGAGAAAAAAGGGAAAAAAGAGAACTAAAGGGAACATTTGCCAAACACATAGAGAGGGAAAAGAAGAAAGACATCAAAAGGAAAACAAAGCAAAATAAGAAAACAAAACAGATTGGGAAATAAAGACATGCACTTTAAAGCTTTGTGCTCAGAGGTGGCACTCACATGGGGAGTGATGGTGGGGGTATAGTGCCCCCCTCCCACTTTTCCAAGCTACCCGAAAGTGTCACTTTTTACGTTTGAAAAGTGCTCTTTTCCTTTTCCAGCAGTTCCCTTTCCCCTTCTAATAAGTGCCCCTTTTATTTTGACACGTGTCCCCTTTTTATTTCTAATAATTTCTTTTACTCCTTCAGATAAATGCCCTTTTTTTCCTTTTTTTTTATATCAGTCCCTTCCCATTTTCATAAATGCCTTCTTTTCACCTCTGATAATGCCCCTATTAAAATCTGGTACTCGCCCCTAATCCTTCAACAGATGCCCTTTTTCCATTCTCATAAGTACAAAAAACAGATTTCGGAGAGTTTGAAATATGTTTATTTATTTATTTATTTATTTATTCATTCATTCATTCGTTTTACACAAAATTATTCAAGCTTATGAGGGAAAATTCCTTGATTTAATGAACAGGTTGAGAACTAGAACAACAAAATAACGGTTTAATTTGAGGGGTTTAATGAAAAGCTTATAGCTTGTATTAAAAATGTAGACCCCCTGGCTATATTAAAAAGAATATTTAAAATATTATATGACTTAGCTAAGCAAAATAACAAAATGATAGAAATATTAGCTTCTTCAGATTTCCCATAATCATTCCTTTTATTATAATGTGTGTACAAGTTCATTTTAAATGACTTTACCGTGGTGGAGCTGCAGATGAATACAGACAATGTGAAATATTATTAGGTTATTCATTTCGATTTCGATTTCGATTGACATCAATCATTTCTTTAATTCTCGTTAAAAAAATAAGAAAATGAACAGGGAATACTATTTCACACACATATATAACTGTCGGATAACGACAGTCCAGTCCCAGAGATGAGACTTACAAAGAAAGTTGAGTTCTGGTCTTGCGATTGCATTGTGAAAGAAACTTTGTGGAATCGATCAGAAAAGTTGATCATCTAGCATATAAGTATTGGTGTGTACTGCAAGGTTCTGGAATCCTCAAAATGATGATAAATTTGGCCCAGTCTTGGTAAAGTTACAAGCACTGTAGACAGAAAGATGTATACGAGACTACATGAACATGTGGTATAAAGATTTGTATGAAGTTCCATGCCATATTTAGAATATTAAGGCATTTGAAGAGCCATGCTTTTCAGGAAACATTTTTTGTCTGATGTTCTTCTACGCTTGCATAATACAATGATAACGCTCACAAATGATTTTGACCTTCTTCCCAGAACTCAACCTTCCCTTTAAAGTCATTTGTATTATGAGTAGATTGCTTAATTACCGACACGCTCATATTTTCTTAGCACATTGGTTGAATGGAGATTCAATTTTTAAAAAAATCTTCAATATAAAATGATCATTGGTAGTAGGTGTCGGTAAAAAAATGTAAATGAGCCTTCACAATTAATAAAAGCAATTTTTTTTAATGACAAAGCAAATAGTTATTCTAAATCGCTATCAGAAAAACAACTTAAATAAAATTAAATAGTGAAAAGATTTTGTTTACAATCTGTGGCAAGATTCATCAAGGTGAATGAACATACATTACGTAATTAGAAAGAGTTTCGCATGGCCTTTCTCTCTCTTTTCTCTAAATATTTCATTGGTCAACTTTTCAGATCTCTTTTCTTGTTTATTATTATATTCTTCTATATCTAAACAAAAGGAGCTCCGATTGTGTATCAGCTTCCAACATCATCATTTCCAAATCAATTTTCCGAGTAAAGGCACATCCGAGAAAAAGAAAAAAACAAAACAATACTCGACCAGCATAGACGGGGGAGGGGACGAGGTGCACTAGTATTTTTTGCAACGAGATGCCCCATTTTACCTCTTATCAAGTGTATTTTGGTGTGGAAACAACTTTTTTTTTAAGTAAAGGGTTGTATGTATTTTAGACACTGGAAGGTTTATATTTTCGAAAAAGAGGCGACAGCCTCCTGAAAATGTGTCAAAATAATGTCTATGTTCTCAATACTTATGCACTGGCCAATTTCGTTAAATTTCCCACATGGTAACTTAATCTGATATTGATCTGTATAGCCCTATTATACATTTTCAAACTGCACCTTGTTGCTAACCTACATGCCTGACACACCAAGGGCCTTAATAATAGCTTATATATATATATACTCGATAACCTTTTAGTTATAGCCCCAACAATTACTAGTTTTATGTATTCGACACGTCATTCTACGTTTGAAATAGCAAGATGTAACAAAAGGAACTGGTAGGCCATTGATAACTACTAGTTGTCGAAGCTGGCAACCTTCCATTGCTAAGATATTTCCCTTCCTCGTAAACTTTGTCCTGAGAAGGCCTGTAATCGGATCATCTGTGAAGACTGTGATCATAATAATTTCAAAACATTGTTCGGTGTCGAAGCATCAAGAGGTAGCAGTCAACCCCTCCCTCACGGACACTCAAAATGTCAAATTGCCAAGGAAAAGCCAAGTTTGACTGGTCTCTTGTGCTTAGAATATTGAAAGTACTTAATTGTTCGCTGAATCATGCTACGACATTTGGTAACTCGTCATCAAGGTACCACCTTTGTGAATGTGTATCAGATTCTATCTGATCTCGTAGCACAACTTTAATGAGAGTTTTCTCCCGCGCCATGGCAAAACGGGGGTCTCCTCGTTCATCAGAGTTCCCTCTCCAGGCTTCCCGTCGTGTTGCTGGGCTTTTCGAACTCGTATTTTTATGTTTGGTTTCGTGCTCGTCGTCAGCTTCCTCATCGAGGTTACGATACCTTTTCGCCTTCATACACACCAACAAGGTAATGATGAAAACGACAAATGCAAGGATGGTACTACAGAGAACTGTCAATGCGATTACGACTCCTGTTGAAGACAAGTGAAACAATAATGTTTGTGATGAAACTAAGAATTTAAAAAGATAACGATGATGATAATGATAATAACAATGATAGTTACAGCTTATCAACGCTAGTGTGGCTAGGAGGGATTAGACCACACAGCGAGGTCACTGACAGGTGGCTATCTCATCAACTCAGCTCTCAAATAACATAAGAAATGGAGGATCATGGGGGACCAACAGGCACCGATTTGGAAAGTTTTCTATATAGAGGGAGCAAGTAGCTACAAGTAGGACAGTGGGGCTTTAAGATAACAGTTATTATTACCATTATTTTGTATGTTGTTGTAATCATTATTTTTAAAAGAAATGTTATTATTATTATATTCACCATTTTCATCATCAATATCAGTATTATCATCATCATCATTATTCTCATAGACAAAATGATAATAGAAGTGCGCTATTGGTCAGCATGCATATTTGTATGTAGTACTAGTAGTTAATGGACATGAAGAACAACAACGAAAAGAAGAACAATAAAATAGGCTACTCAGGAAAACAGATTACAAATTCAGGTCTTCGTCAGAGAACCAATACGATTTATTTCCTTCTTTTTGTGTGTGTGCATTCATTTACTTATTATTATCAGCCATATTTCTTTAATGATAATTACTATGGTAATAGTAATAACTAAAATAATAAAAAGGATAATAATAATAATGATAAAAATGATAATAGAAACACAGCAACAAAAACATCAACAACAACAATAACAATACTACTAATAATAATAACAATAACGATATTGACCTCTTAATTAGCGCTCTAATATCATCATTTTTTTATAACAAATCCACCCTTTTACAATTAAGTCCTCTGCGCATACCCATAATTAACATTAACATAATATGTACAAGGTTTGTAACATAAGCTAATGAAATAATTGAATTTGAATAATTGTGAGGACATATTTCTAAAGAAATATAACTGTTATTGATGAGCTAAGCTTTACGAAACAGAGCCCTGGTAATAAATTAATGTCAATGCGGTGAACGTACCTGTCATCGTTTCTGCCATGATGATACAATGAGGCCTACGAGAAGCTTGCGTTCTGGTAATGATAGAAAATAAATTCTCACAGAATCCAACAAAACTTACACTGAATGTCCAAGATTACAAATGAATGACATGTATCGAACGATTTTGGTAGAAATGTTTAGGGTGTGAATAATGGGCATATAAGATAAGGAAATCGAGGTAAGTAGGCCCGACACCATGTCAATGTGCCACTATGTGCACATGAGAGTTGTGGTTTTTATTGAAGATGATTTCCAGCAGGTTTTTGTGAGGTGGTTTTTATTTTACTAGTTCAAACAATAAATGTACTGCACAGGCGCGTACGCAGGATTTTTTCAAGGGGGGGGGGGGTTAACATTTTTAAATCGGGTCGAAAATTTCGTATCGACTCAGCCAGCCGCTGAATAAGCGGGGGGGGGGGGGGGGGTAAGAGGACACTTTTTCTTTTCTTTGGTCTCGAAATTTGAAAATTTGACATTTTGCTCCGTTGGGGGTGGGGGTAATGTCGTCTTTTTTAGGTCAGCCATGGGAATAATTTTTTTAATTTTTTTATTATTATTAAAAAATAAATTTTAAAAAAATTATGGGATTTTTTTAAGGGGGGTTTATACACATAAAAATACCAAAGGGGAGGGTTTAACCCCCCAAACACCCCCCTGCGTACGCGCCTGGTACTGCATAATAAACAATCCAGATTGAATTATAGCCATGTTCTCTTGACATACGATGCCCATACCGAAGCTCAAGATTAGCTTAAACATCCTGATCAAATACGCACAGCAATCATGACGAGACTTTTAGTATTCTGACATCAATTCACGGAACCTCTCTTTCTACATGTATTTGACTAGTAAAAATCATTCGATGGTATTTACATAGATCAAATATCCTTTTGACAACGTCACTTAGTCTTAGTTTCTCGATGTCAATCAAGGTGACATGTAAGATGAACTGCTAAACCGATAGCGTGTCCGTGAGGCTGTTCACACCGCAATGAGATAGCGCGGTCTATCGTAGCACCCCCTTTTTTCTAGCGCGCGCTAGCCCGCGCTATCTCTCGTGGACCACCCCAAGAGGTGCTCCAGTGTTGGCTCGCCGTGGCTCGCTGTTGGGCGGACCGAAACGACGTTGTACCTTCCAAACCGCGGAGATAGCGCGGTCTGGCGCGCGCTATCTCTGCCGGTGTGAACAGCCTCCGTGACTACTTCAACCTATAACACCATTTCAAAATCCTTGTGCGTCACCTGTTGAACTTTGAGAACTTGGCAAAGACGTATTACGTAATCTGAACATGGGTATTGAAATTGCCCTTGAGTTAATTGCGATCGAGTAAATTATTTTCCTTCATGTAGGTTCGGCAAAAGCAATTGAAGAATAGGTCATTTATTATGACAGTCCTCGATCAACTTTTTTTTTTTAATTTAACTTAATTATTCCATATTTCACAATGGTGTACATTCTTTACTAATTAAATGTCATTGTTACATATTTGAAATCAACTCGTACAATTCAAAACTGATGAATAATCAAATAGTAACATTAATATTATTAACACAATATCGCATTCATCGTCGCATTAGACGAAGAAGAAGAAGAAGAAGAAGAAGAAGAAGAAGAAGAAGAAGAAGAAGAAGAAGAAGAAGAAGAAGAAGAAGAAGAAGAAGAGGAAGAAGAAGAAGAAGAAGAAGAAGTAGAAGAAGAAGAAGAAGAAGAAGAAGAAGAAGAAGAAGAAGAAGAAGGAGGAGGAGGAAGAGGAGGAGAAGAAGAAGAAGAAGAAGAAAAAGGAGAGGAATAAAAAAGAAGAAGATGGAATACCTTTTACAGTCCTTGAGTTTTGCAAGCTGGAACCATATATAATGAACAAGATATCAATCTCCTTGCAACATAGGCCTATAAGCAGCTCTTCCACTTTTGTCTGCGGACATATAACTTGTTAAAAATGATTTCAATTCCTGCTACTCCGGAAACCCATCTTGCACTTACAACCTAGAGAGCAAACATTCATCTCCATGTAATTAAAGAAGTGCAACCTGATGTGGATCATTGGATCACGTGGATACAATGGAAGCGTTTGATTGGTAGAGACAAACATGATTGCTGACGATAACTGACCAATCAAGTTTCGGAAAGGAAAGACAACACCGGGGTTTTCCCCTACTCTTACACAAATAGTGCAATGGGTTCTATACCGGGAAAATCAAATCATCTCCTTGAGCAAACAGGGGAGGGGCACGTTAACACACAAGACATGCTTCTATCATCCATCTGCGTTGGATTCGAACCCACGATCTTTGGTTCGACAGGTAGACGCTTTACCGACCGAGCCTACTCGCCTCCATATAGAAGAAGAAGAAGAAGAAGATGGAAAATATAAATAACGTTCTGCCTGGAATGTCTTACCAGTTAACACTGATGATTTGAATCGTTCAGACCAGTATGTCGTATACGTCATCATGTACAAGTTTCCCCTCAAAGTTTCCAACAAAGTGTTGACTCGAAATTGACTCGAATTGAAATTGACTCGAATTGAAATTGACTCGAATTGAATGTCCCATAGAAATCATGTTAATATAAAACGTCATGTTCGCTCATTTCAAAAGGTCACGTACAAGGCTGTTGAAACCGCCTTAGGTTGAGATTTCGAAAGAACATTTAAAGTGTTTAGTATATAGGTGGGGAAGCCCCAAAGACCCCAGGACGGTACCGGAACGCCTTATCACGGATTTGAACCGGATGTCTGTAATCTATGCAAATTAATTTTCATAAGGAGGTGGGGGGGAGGACTGCCCTACCATACTCACATCTGGTCGTCTGTGTCAAGTTTCTCTTTCGAATTTAAGAACGATGTGCGTAATAATCATCTGCATATACTCGATTATGTAGTAAGCCTTTTCAATGGTGCTCTATAACGTTTTCTCGCTCGGTTGCTACACTCCTTCCAATGCAGTTTCTTAAAACTATAAAACAAAAACTGATGAAAAAACACCGTCCAGACAATTCACCATAAGCATAGAGCAGATGTTTCCTTCTATCAAAGAGTGAAAGAGGTGCAAATACGATTTGCCCCCCCCCCCCCCCATGCAAGATAATAAAGGATTTGGGATTATATAAAGCTATCAGCTTGGAAGTGCTCTAAAATGCTTTTTTTGTTTAAAGAGTTACGGCTGTGGAAACTGTTTTCCAGAGGCACTAAAAGCGAGGAAGAGATGTTTCCCTCCATTTAATGGGGGGGGGGGGGCTAAATTCGCCCCCCCCCCCTTAAAATTTTTGTTTGCATTATAATGATTGGCTTCTATACTGTAAAAAACGTCTGTTTAGAACCAAAGGGCCGTTAGCATTCACACTTTAACGTCGGTCTGGCTTCGGACGGACGAAATACAAGCATTAAACACGCAATAATCACACCTTTTTGCAGTAATTGCTTCAGACGTCCATAATGTGCCAATCTCAAAGCGAAAGAAAAAGAATAGAAATTCACGTGAAATTGTTTTGATAAAAGCTAAACAAAAAGATAAACCGCTTTGGCTCTAAAGTGAACAGAAAAGTTTGAAGTAACACCCCCTCTAGCGACGCTTCAGGAATCTACTTTTCTTTTTTTAATCTATGCATGTATATAAAAGAAAATGCTGGTTGGTATTTTTGCTGCATTTTCCTATATCCGTAGTCACGTCCTTAGTGACTCAGTCTATATAAAAATATATTCATATACAGCGCCTACTAATGGTAAGATTTTATATAATTGACTGAATCCCGCACTTTTCGTTCATTTTGATGCAAGACTGCTGCGTTTTCCCTTGTTTAGTACACGCATAATGTTGTTAGGACGAAGAGGTTGTTTCAAACGGTAATATGAAGAAGTTTGCGTGCATTAATTTAATTCATATATCTTTAAAGATTTATGTTAGTCAATTGCTCGTTGTGTGTAAAGCGATGGTGAGGAAAATGATAAAACTAAGCCATTGATAATACAATGTTATTCAATCAAACTAAAGTACACTCAGCAAAAAAAAGAAAAGAAAGTGGACACTATTTATGATTATCATTTTCAAATAAATGTTTTATATAAACTATCTTTCATATATCAAAATAAACATAAATTAACCCTCTCTAAGATGCTGCAATTTGAATCATACCATTCATGCATGAGTGAGCATAGCCATTTAACACTAGATGAGTCTTTTGAAGAATATTGCAAATGCAGGTGATCTGGACATTTAAATGTTGATGAGCATTATTATGGTAGAGTAACAACAACAACAAAATCTCGAGAAACACGAAAGTAGACACATCTTGACCATGCTTGTCAAAACAATGCAGTCCTTAAACTATGCAGCTATCATCTAATGCTCAATCGTTGTTTTCATTCACAATTATTGAATAGCTACCTGCTCTATTTCCGCAATTTTCTTAATACCATCTAACCAGGGCTCAAATTAAATTTTTGTCCACGGGGGCTCTTCCCCCGAAAAAGAGCCCCCGTGAGCCTTCTCAAGGGGCTCTTTTATTACTGACGGGGGCTCTTTTTTATACAAATATCCATTGAATTGGTACCTATGATACTCCTCAATTATTTGCTATTTCATCATTATCATTTCAATCAGCATTTTCCCTCTTACAAATTTACAAGCTACATAGCTGTTACTGGCCTGTGTATAATATATACGCATACAACACTGATCTTTATGATGTCTTTAACGTGACATATCTTCTTCTCCCCTTGCAAACGAAAAAGAAAACATGGTCATTAAAAGGGATTAAGCGACAAATAATGATTGTGATTCAAATTGATGCGAATATTTGTTTGAATAAGCACTATTATTCACCCGAATCATTTTTGTAAAAACAACTTTTACAAATCTCAGCCATGCTTACTGAGTTGAGACGTTCCATTCAATTTAAAATACCCATTACATAATACACTTCTCCTAATCTCAAAGTGATCTTACAGCACAGTGGCAGAATTGCATGGCTGAGAGTTGTAAAAGTCGTTTTTACAAAGAAGATTCTGGTGAAAAGCATTGCATATTCAAAAAAATCCTTGCATCAATTTGAATCACAATGATTATTTGTCGCATGGTCCTTTTATTAAATAACCTTGTTTTCTGTTTTGTTTGCATAGGGAGAAGAAGCTATGTCTCGTTAAGAAATCATAAAGATCAGTTGTATTATGCGTATATACATATGATACCAGAACAAATGTTGATTATCAGAATGTCATTTTGGAATACCTCTATACAAATACCACATTGTCTTTAGCCCGTATTAGTATTAGTATGATCCAATATAAAGCTATTATTCTTTATTTAATTCAGTATAATGCTTTTCCTCAAAAATAGTTTTGCTATTTTTTTAGGATTGAGACGCTAAGAAATGGTTTAAATGTTCATTACACGAACCCTGAACCATTGCAAAATGATGGTGGTTCTCTCTCTCTCTCTCTTTATTTTCTTCATGCATTATCAACTACATATAAAGCAGCAACCAAAAACTTAGGGTTATCTGAGATAGGTGAAAGTAAGAGTTAAAAAGAAAGTCATGCTAAAACGGCGCTTCACTTCCCCCCGCCCCCTGAAAAAAATAAAATAGATTAGTAGTCCTCCTCTCCAGAATCCCCCTCCCCCTCCCCCCCCCCCCCCCCCCCGCTTAAATATCACATTTTCACTTGGCAGCGCAAGGGGGCCGGGGGAGGGGTGGGAGGAGGGGGTTAAACCCCCTACCTCCCCCCCCCCCCCGCCGTAGATCTGCCCATGTTATCATATCATTCCACGCAGGGGCGGCGATCCCGGGGGGGGGGGACGGGGGGACGTCCCCCCCCCCCTGGAAATTTGAAAAAGTGCAAAACAAATTGTATAGCATATACTGAATAATGACTGCAACACACTTTTAGGCTCTGGAAGGCCCAATAGTGCAGCGTTTAGACTAATAAAAGTCGCTACGCTCCCTCGCATAACATCCTCGTAAAAAAAAAAAAAATCGCATTTCGTCCCCCCGGTCATTAACAGAAATCGCCGCCCCTGATTCCACGACATTTTGGTCTTCCTCTTCTCCTCAAAAGGGACTTTTAGATTTGCGTGTTACGTCCTTTTAAGGCACTGGCAATCACATGTGACGTCCTTTTAAGCACTGGCAGTGCCTTAAAAGGAGGTCACACGTTGCAGTCCACGTTCTCATCGTGCAAATCTAAAAGTCCCTAATATTGATTTACTGGTCGAGGTTCATTATTTGCTGACAACGAAAAACTTCTCCAGGCCACGACCATGTTTCTGCCCTTGCCCGATCGCCTCCAGCTCTAGCAGACATGGCGCGGCAGCGTGCACACGCACCGCTACTAACGGCGCAGTAGGCCTATAACCACTGCTGACGGCGGCACTGCACTGCGAGCTGAATCGGTAATAATAGGCCTACTCATAAAACGAGAAATCTTGCACGCTAATCTTAGTTCCATTTCATTGGTTTAAGGTTTGAAAATTGAAACTAAATATTGTGTTAAAGTTATAACAGAAAAGATTATCTTTATTTTATAATTCCACCGGGGCGATTTTTAATTTTGCAATCGCCCCCGTGAGCAACCTGACGGGGGCGATTTTGTAGCTCACGGGGGCGAATCGCCCACCGCCCCCGTGTATTTTGAGCGCTGCATCTAACGGTTAAATGGATGACCCCATCCGAGCAAGAACGTTACAAACTTGACCTTATTGGCCCGAATTCACAAAGGTTTGTCGACAAACCTATGTTTATGTGCGTCATACAAACCAGGTTTGGTAGAGAATTAATTTTCCTTTAACTAGATATGTATTTTATAATATTTCATTGACACTTACCGATAATATGACAATCTTGAGCAGTGAAGAGTGTCCACTTAATGTTTTATGCTGAGTGTGTATATATTCATACATGACGGAAAATTGACTGAGAAAAGATTTGGTCATTAATTAAACTCAATGGCCCGAATTCACAAAGGAGGTTTGATGACGCACATAAACATAGGTTTGTCGTCAAACCTCCTTTGTGAATTCGGGCCAATGGCAGCAGGGCAACCACTTCTTTTCACTAGCGTAGGTTCGGGCCGGGGGGGGGGGGGGGGGGGGGAGGTAACATACATTCCTACTTAAGAGAGGGTGGCCTTTTCTATTACAACCACCACTTTTCAAGCAGATTTTTTTTTCTCTCTCATCAAACAGTTTTTTGATATTTTGATAAAATTGATACACTGCGCTATAAGCATAATAAATGACTCTTCTATCTCCGGAATTTCTCTTCAAATGTTTTTTAATTAATTTTTTGTTGTAGATGTGTAAATCTGGGTATTTGTGTTCGCGATAGACATATCGGCACCTGTTTAGGATCACCCCCCCCCCCCCAACTCGGTTCCTTTTCACAACGCCACAGCTCTATGGACAGAAATAACCCCCTTCCCCCTTGAAATCCTATACCGAAGCGCACTCTATAAGTTACAATAGGCAAACCAAACACATCCTTTCACGCCTCTAATAAAGACTTAACAAAATACATAAAACGAGTAGGTAATTATATACTGCTAAATGCATTTATTGTATTATTTTGTACAATGGAGTTCAATGATAACAAATAAAAAAAAATAATGATAATTAACAAAAAGCAAAGAAAAAACACACACGATATGACAATATCATGATGAGACGTTTATTGCACGAAACAAAGTTAAAAGCTTCCTAAGTACTCTGTACTACGAGTATAACGGTATATAGTTAGATTTATCGTCAAAAAGCTCTCTTATAATGATGATAATAATGATATGATAATAATAACAATAACAATAATAGTAATAAAATGATAACGACAATAAGGATAGTAATGATGATGATAATAATAGTAATAGCAACATTTACATTTAGCGCTTAATATCAACATCTCTAAGCGCTGTACAATATCATTACTCCCGCTTTAGCCAAGCTTCCCTAATAAGGGGCTCTGGCATTCAAGTCAGTACCCATTTATCAGGTAGTAAAGGTACCCATTTACATCATCTGGGTGGAGAGTGGTAAATGTAGATTAATGTCTTGCCAGAGGACATTAATGCCACGACGAGACTCGAACCACGAACCATGTGGTTGGACGGCGTGTCCACACAACCACGACACCTCTACACATAATAAAATGCATGATATAGTTTGTCATTGACAAAAACCGTAATAAAATAATTATAAAATAGGATAAAAGCCCTAAATCATTACATAATATATCAATAAATATTGGCACAACAGAAAACATTATTTCTTATAAGACTTTTGCCTTTTGCCCATCATCTCTGTAAGAGTGATCCACGATAAAATGTTTATATTTTTATGTTTCCCAGGTACAAACAAAAACAAAGTCCATATAGAATTGATGGAATTGTACGAAAGATCCGAACTTAATTGTAACTTATGATGGAGTGACATTTTATTTTGAAGGTAGTTCAATAGAACATCATATAAAATACACTCTATAGATACAAATATGTCAAGCGTACTACATTTACGTCTCTATACCGCATCAACTGTCTAATTGTCTTCTAAATAATATTTAAGGCATTTTACGCTGTAATTGTATGTAACAATATTCACCAATACCCTGTTATGTGTGTATTCTAAAATGACATATACAATGGTTCAATTATAACATAGAATCCTTTATAGACATGGCAAATATATTCTGAAATTGCATACTCGTAAAGACAGACGGGGGAAATATTATTATATCAGTTTTGTCGCAATATATTAAAGACTAACAAACCAAATAAACTTTATATCAATGGTATAATACGATGAAAGCAGTATTTAAAGGCTAAATAGTGACATGGGATGTATTGAATAACCGGGGGATCCAGAAATGGCATCAGAAACGACATGTCAGAAAATTGTTTATCGTAAAATTTCCATCGTATTTGACAATCTCAATCGCCTTAGCTAATCATGATAGTTTCCTGAACTGATCAAAATGGCCAACTTGACCAATATAATTCTTCATGCGCGAAAAAGAATTTTCATAGGTAAATACACCCGTTAGCCGGTAGTGTAAATAGTACTCTCGCCTTCTTGTAAACAAAATCGTTGGTCAGAACAGGTACGAGCAGTAACCGACTAGTTTATAAAATAATCATGAATAAATGACAAAGTTGCTTAAAATAACATATACATCTAAATGGCCAGCATTGATCAATATATAACTGCCGGTTCTCTATGCATCGGGTTTCGAACCGCCTCCGTCTCCCAAAAACTTTCCGCCACCGACCTCTCCCTCACGTAATACAGTGGATAGGTGTCCCACACGCTAAGCACGTGATTGCTATGACCTGGACGATGACCTTGAAGATGACCTTGAGGATGACCTTGAGGTTGATTTTGAGGATGACCTTGGATGTTCTTTCGTGGGTAGTTGTTACTTTGTTGGCTTCCAGGCAAGCTCTCCTCATCACCGATGTACTCGCCCTCCTCCTCCTCCTCCTTCCGATGGATTCTCTTGCAGTAAGCGAACAGGAACACGAACGCGACACAGAAGATGAATATGAGACTGCAAAATGCTGTGATAGCGATGACGAACTCTGTATGTGACAAGAGAGGGAGAGAGAGAGAGAGGGAGAGAGAGAGAGAGAGAGGAGAGAGAGAGAGAGAGAGAGAGGAAGAAGGGGGAGAGAAAGAGGGGGAGAGGAAGAGGGAGAGAGAGAGAGAGAGGGGGGGAGGGGAGGAGAGAAGAATAAAAAGGGGAAGAAAGAGAGATCATTAATTATGATAACACTAATAAAAATGACGACGATAACGATTTAAACAAATAGTAGTAAAAATAAATATTATGATGATAATGATAATAATAATAATAATAATAAAGAAGGAGAAAAAGAAAAAGAGGAAAAAGAAAAAGAAAAAGAGGGAAAAGAAGGAAAAAAAGAAGAAAAAAAGAAGAAAAAGGGGGAAACAAAGATTGATTTTGGTGTATAAAGCAGTAAACCTTTTATTACCAAATGCAATATGCTCTCGTATTGTTATACAAGATTGTACTTAAATACAATTTTTTAAACCATTATAGATTTGGCGCATGCAAATCATTCAATGAACTCCAACACAGTATATATTAGAAACGCCTATAATCTAGGTCAGTTTATAATTGAATTAAATTGAATTGAATTGAATTTCTTTATTGTCATGCACAAAATAAAATGAAGGCATAAGAATCGTTTTACAGCTCACATTTGTATAAATATAACAATACATTTACATATCATAGACAGTATAGTACAAAATAACATAAATAACATAACAATGTAATACAAATATATAATTTAACCTCTCTGTTGAGAGCCAGGGGAATTATTTGATTATTCTACCTATCCTTTCACCCTGATCTCCTTGCATTGTCTCTACTACTGCCATAGCCGAATTTTCAGACAAACACCTTTTATTTTGGGGTCGTGACCCGTACCTTCCATTTTGTAATGGGACGACGCCCAAACCTTTAGAGAAAAATGCAATGAATGATTATTCAAGTGACGTGTTATGACCCCCAGATTTCCCCCATTTCTTTTCACAACGGAATTTATTTTGCAGTTCATAAAAACTACTTCAGACAAAGTAAATCTCTCAAGCAAATATGTAAAGGGCAAAGTCCTCTTCAAATTCGGCCAATGCTTGCTTGCGTCCAACTTTATATCCCTAACAACCCTTTACCTGTGTATTAGTGTTCTTATAACCCCATATAAATGACACAGAGTGCGTCAGGGATAAGCTTTTTGAATGGTGTAAATACTTTCAAAACTAACACTTTTCAGTTTAAAAAAGTGGGTAAATTATAAAAAGCTCTGTGTTTGAGCGCTTTTAAAAAGTACAGTGAGTAATTTCTGGCCAAATGGATTTAAACGTTTATTGGCTAAAAGAATAATCAGTCATTCCGGTCAACATCTAATTAAAAATTGAAAATTATTGTGGAATATAATGTACATCAAATGCTCTCTTTTTTTCTTCGAAGTTGAAAGGTTGAGATAATACAGAAGTATATGTATAATCATATTTTTAACTGAGGAGGTCGTGTCCGCTTTTCCCTAAACTTCTAGATATCATGATTATCACCATTTATGCAAAATCATTCAATTTTAATTAGTTGATAGTACCACATTGCTCAACTTCAACTATATTGCTAAACTATATTTTCCCATATGCAGTTATGGCACGGTAATCTAATAATTAATTGTTGCTATGTAGGACAAACATTATGACTTCTCCTACCTAACAACCCGTAATGTATGCAATTCGCATTGTGACTTTTAAAATACTATTATTCATAACAGGCCAATGAAATAATTTGTAACAAGGCAGTTATTAACAAAGATTTGTGCATTAAAGTTGATTACAATTCGAAAATGGTCCATGTTTGTTGTAGTTTTTGGTTTGTTTTGGAGGTGCATCAGTGAGTGGCGGGAAATAGTTTTGTCTGGACATGATGGTAATTTAGTGTGAAAATATAGAGCACTTGGCTAGGTATGTGAATGCATGGCCATGGAAAGTACAATGGAAAGAGCATTCAGGTCTTTGAAAAACAACCACGCCCAGGGGGTCGCCGATCCAGAGGGGGTAGGAGAATTGTCTGTTCCAGAGCCATCTATACACAGAGTTTGGCCAATCCGGTTCGAGTTGGACACAATATGGCGATTACTGCTTTGTTGGGCAAGCGCAACACAAAATAATATACGCCATGTTTTGACCCAGTGAAACCAAGTTGGTCAAACTCACTGTATAGATGGCTCTGCAGTCGCTGTGCGTAAGAGTGTCTGCAGAGTGAGACTAGCCTGACACCTTACTACATATCTGCTACGCCAGAGACTGACAAGCTTAGGCTCTGCTTAAGGCATTGTGAATATGGTAAAGTGTCAAATTGGAGTCTGTGCCTGTAGACTAAACTCTCACAGGCTCGCTCAATTTTGTTTCCATTTTTTTTTTTTTGGGGGGGGGGGGAGGGGAGGGTCATCTTAGCGAAGGTTCATCGATGATGGCTATACATTTAACTATGAAAAAGAGTTATATTGTGAACAGAATGCGAACATGACTGTTATTTACACACTTTAAAACATAATTTTCCATTTTCCATTTTCATATGTTCATCTTCGTTTGGCAATTGAACTTTGCTCTAGAAAGGTAAACTTAGGGAAACTTCGTCAAAACATCAATATTGTTTGAACATGATGTTATCAATACAAGAATGTGTCATGTCTCATTTTGTTCCCTGTTATAATCATATTTGCATCATACAAACAACTTTTTCAAATTTGAATAGTCGGGGGGGGGGGGGGAACGAGAGATATTTTTAATTTCTCGGTTGACTGTTTCTTCATTTCATGTATGAAGAGATAGTCCCAGTCCTTGACATGACTAAGAGCTAAAATTAGATGTTACGAGGTCAAATAATGACGCCTTGGCTTTTTTATCTTTAATCTTTAAAAATAAATAAAAAATAAAGATGTGAAGTGAGTTATTCATTCTGGAGTTCTATATTGTGATATTACAGACCATTTTCCAATTTTTCAAATTAACTACAAATTAAAGGTTTCTATTCCTATCTTAAATGTTCGTACACGGCATTTTACGGAGGCAAACATTGCACAATTTTGCATTGGTCTACATTTATATGATTGGACGTGTGTTTATAGATCCACAAATGTCGAACAGGCATATAATATATTTATAGATATCTATTCTGAATTGTATGATAAACACTTTACCCTCAAGGAGAAAAGTAGGAAGAAAAAATCAATTCGAAAACCGTGGATAAATAATTTTCTTTTCTCTTGTATCAATCGGAGAAATAAGTTATATAAGCAATTGAAGTTGAAATTTTCTTCAGATTTGAGTAGGAAGTATAAATCTTATCGAAATAAAGTTACTTTTCTTCTAAGACAAGCACGAACAAAATACTATGGTGATATGCTTAAATACAACTCTAATAACCTGAAGAAAACCTGGGGCATTATCAATGGTATTTTAAATAGAAAAGCTAAAGTCCTGCCGAATCATTTCAAAGTCAACGGTGTGATAGTAGACAATGAGTGCGAAATATCCGAACTGTTCAATAGAATGTTTAATGACGTTGGAACCAAAACAGCTGCCCAGATTCCTCGCTCTTATAAACACCATTTGGATTACATGAACGCATCAAATCCAAATTCGTTATTTTTGTGCCCTACATCTGAAAACGAAATTATAAATATTTTTAGGAATTTAAAGAATACAAATAGCACTGGAGTTGATGATGTTAGTCAAAATATAGCAAAGAAATCTATTCACGCTATAGCCCGTCCGTTGATGCACATTATGAATTTATCAATTTCGACTGGAAAATTTCCAAACCGGCTTGAAACTGCAAAAATTGTTCCTGTACCAAAAACAGGGGATCCTTATGATATATGCAACCATCGTCCAATTTCTTTACTTCCTTGTTTTTCAAAGTTACTAGAAAAATTAGTTTACGTTCGTCTATATAAATTTCTTGAACATAACAATATTTTATACATGCATCAATATGGCTTTCGGCCAAACCATTCAACTGATCATGCTCTTATTGATTTTAATGATACAGTATGTAACGCATTGCACTCAAATAAGTTTGTTATCGGTATATTTTTAGACCTGTCGAAAGCTTTTGATGTAATGGATCACGACATATTACTTTCTAAGTTATCTAGATATGGTATTCGTGGTATACCCTATTTATGGTTTAAAGATTATTTAACAAACAGAAATCAATGTACAACGTATAAAACTCATATTTCTAAAAAACTTTTGATCAAAACAGGTATTCCTCAAGGATCAATTCTAGGTCCTCTATTGTTCCTATTATATGTTAATGATTTATATTGTGTTTCAAAATTGTTTCACTTTATTCAATACGCAGATGATACTTGTTTGATTGCCTCAAATTATAATCAGAATGACTTAATATGTCAAACAAATACAGAACTTATCAAGGTTGTTGAATGGTTAAGAACAAACAAGCTATGTCTCAATGTTAAAAAAACTAAATGTATATATTTTTGTTTGAACAATTCACGGAGTATCGCTTTACCCAAAGTACAATTGGACGGAGAGTTGATTGATTTCGTCGACTGTCATAATTTCCTTGGTATACATGTTGATTGTTATCTAAAATGGGATTTTCATGTCAGACATGTCTGTAATAAAATAAGTAAAACCATTGGAATTTTATATAAATTGAAATATACAGTACCCCCACATATATTAATTCTATTATACAATGCTCTTATCTTGCCGTATCTCATGTATGGTAATATTGTATGGGGTTCAGCGTGTAAAACCAGATTAGTAAGTATTTTTAAGAAACAGAAACAAGCTATTCGAATTTGTACTCTTTCGCATTATCTTGCCCATTCTAGTCCTATTTTTCATTCGTTAAATCTTTTAAACATTTTTGACATATATAAATATCGTGTTGGTATTTTCATGTATCGATATATAAACAATACTCTTCCACTTTCGTTTCATGATATGTTTCAGCTAAATTCAGATATTCATTCACATTTTACCCGCAATTCAATGAAATTTCGACTGCCAAAACCTCAAAATTCGTTAGATATAAGATCCATTCGGTATACTGGTCCCAAAATTTTAAACGAAATTGAAAATTGTATTTCCGATGCAACCACACTCAATGTATTCAAACGTAAACTTAACCAGCATTTCGTTAACAGTTACAATACTTGATGTACTCCAACAATGATTTTCAAAAGATTGTTTACGTTACATTTTGGTTAGTAGTTAGTTAGTTTGTGAGTGAGGGTGTGTGTGTGTGTGTGTGTGTGTGTTTGTGTGTCGGCGCATTTTTGTGTGTGACTATTGTGTTTTGTGGCTGGGTGAATTATTTTGCAATTATAAATGTATTATTTAACTTTGTTCAGGTGCCTTCTATTGTACAAGCCCCGTGCTTTTTTTGAAGGTATCCTTTCATCTATTGTTATTATTGTTATGCATCGTCAAATATTGTCAATATCTGTTATAATTTTTATGGATGATGAATAAATAAATTGAATTGAATTGTTTCGCTCATCAGGCAGTGCTTGTGAATTATTACTTATGGATTGACATTGGCTATGGCAATTGATCAAATCATAATTAGACAGTTAACGACTATAATATTCATAGCCCTTGTTAGTGTTATGTGTTTTTGTGCTTTTCGTAACTCAATAAATTAAGGTGGACTGGTTGAATTATGACTTTTGTTGAATGCTTTTAGATGTATGCTTTAATATGTAACATTCTCAAGAAACATAACTCAGGACAAATCCTTTTTTACATATTTGAATAATTACAAAACTTGGCAAGAGTATGAATAATTATGCTGTTACCTGTAGGTATTGAGAAAGAACATATTTAATAGGCACATCGCGAAAATGATCTTGATTGTTCATTTTCATAATGTTTCAATCTTACCCGTCATAATAGTCTGTTTACTGCCCAATGCCACTTCGTCCGATGGCAGAGGCGTCGACGCTGCAAGGTGAGGAGAATAAAGAGAAAAGGAAAACAAAATAATGTTTAACAAGTTCGGTGTAAAAGAAAAACGAAAGAGAAACGATTACAAAGTGCAGGTTATGTAAAAAAAAAAAAAAAAAAAAAAAAAAAAAAAAAGCAGTATCTTCTTGCGACGTCTTTCCAACTAATGGTGGCGATAAAAAAAAACTTTAAAATACATTTCACCTGGAATTCATTTATCTGTTTCATACCAAAATACTCTGACAAGCAATGAAAAGTTTGACAAACAATGAAAAGCATGAAAAAGGAAATTACAAAAATAAAAATGAAACGAAATATAAAAATTAAAAAAATAGAAGCAACAAGCAACCAAAGAAAAGCTAAGCAAACGAGAGAAAATGGAAGAACAAAGAAAACTAGCTACGACAAAAACAAATCATAAAGCTCATTTTTTTGTTGTTGACTTTGTTACACCACACGTGGCAGTGCATGATTGTGACATGAATGATGAATCGTATGACTTGTTTTTCATTCTTGGGATTTCATGCGGAAACTAACAATCAAAATTCAGCTCGTTGGATGTAGGACTACCTGGATCGCATGTTATGATTACTTTGGGTATTTATTTTGAATAATTATTGGGATTTCATTCGGAAACTAACAAGCAAAATGAAGCTGTTAAGTGCAGGACTACCCGGGTCGCCATGTTATGGTTTACTTGACATCTCCAATAAGAACACATAATCATATGATTGGCCTCCCCCAGTTTCTGCACAGTACTATCACAAAAGATTATGTCAACAATCACAGCATGATCTCAGGGAAAGTAAGCATAGAGTTGTGGCAAAGAATAGTCCATTTTCGTGATGTAATCAGAATTAATGCACATCTCTTGGTTTAGTGCCAGGTTAAAAATAATTGTTGCTCGGTAGGACAAAATTTAATGTCCTGGCTTGTCCTACCTAACAACACATACTGTATGCGATTCGCTTTCATTCTGACCATTAAAATACAATTACTCGTAGCAGGTGAATGAAATGATTTCTAACATGGCACTTAAAGGTATGATAATAATTTGCAGGTCAAAACATGATAAGGTTAAATTCCAACGGCATTTGAAAGACGATACTTATTTGGAACTTCCCTCAAAACGAAAGGATTTGAAAATGGCCTTTTTATGGGAAAATAATGACCATTAGCTGTTGAATCGACATAAGAGATGGCAATTACTTGTACCGAATGGTCGTACGTTTTGTGCTGCACAAAGATTCAATCAGTTTGATTTCGGCCATTACGAGACGTGGGTTATTGATGTACACAAATGCACATGTACCTATTACAGCTCATTTCATGTTTGTTATTTCCAACAAAAAAAGATGTCAGTCAGTCACTCAATAATGTCTGAAAGTGAAGTCTATAGGAGGTAAACGGGCTCCCTTGCATAATTTGAATACTAGGAAACTGTTAGGCCCGAATTCACAAAGGAGGTTTGTCGACAAACCTTGGATTTCGTACGTCATATGACGCGTTTTACGCGTTTTTTACAAACCTGGTTTGTAAAGAACAAAAGGAGGTTTGGCGAAACAAAAGAAATTTTGAGCTCAAACCTTGGTCTGAGCTCAAACCTTGCTTTGTGAATTCGGGCCATAGGTTCACAGATAGGACATACATGACATATTCATAATTCCTGCAAAGTTCTACAGAATTTGATATTGGCTGCCAACATCAAATTCAGTAGAACTTTGCAGGAATTATTAATATGTCATGTATGTCCTATCTGTGAACCTATAGTGACCGAGCGGAAGATTTTCTATTTAATACTTATAAGACCATGGCTTTTAAAGCACTTCACGACCGAAAAAGTGACTTGTAGCCTTTAAACAATATTTGTTTTTCTTTCCTTTCCCAATTTACCTCGGGATCGCTTCCTGCTTTAAATCGCATCTGTACTAGTCTAGCTAGAAAGGATTAGACCACCCAGGGTGGTCACTAACAGGTGGCTATCTCATCAACTCGGTTCTCAATTAACATAAGAAAAAGAGGATCATGGGGGACCAATGGTTACCGATTAGGCATTGTTTTCTATATAGAGGGAGCAAGTAGCTAATAGTACAGAGGGCCTTTAACGTAATCCGTGGGTAGGCTACGTAGTCGGAGGAGTGGATACAAAAAAGCCTGAACATAACATCCAATTAGTATAAGGTATGTGAAAACCACAGAACTGTAAAATATTTTATTTATTCAAGCAAGAAATGGTGAGACGGTTCCAGGCGCGGATCCAGGATTTCTTAGGGGAGGGGGCCCAACTTTTTTTTTTTTTTTGCTCCCGCAAATTTGAAAATCGCGCCGGCCGAAAAGTCGCTCAGTGGGGGGGGTAAGCGGACATTTTTTTTTTTTTTTTTTTGGAGTCCCAAAAAAAAATCGCAACGACTCAGCCAGCCGAAAAGTCGCTCAGTGGGGGGGGGGGGGGGGGGGGGGGGGGGGGGGGGGGGGGTAGTGAACACAATTTTTTTTGGTCCTCGAAAATTTTAAAATTTGCACCCCCCCCCCCCCCTTGAGCGCCAGGGGGGGGGGGCCCAACCCCCCAAAAGGTAAAAATCGCGTGATTTTGCATGATTTTTTTTCTCAAGGGGGGGGGGGGGGCCGGCCCCCCCCTGGATCCGCCACTGGGCGGTTCATAATTGTTCATTCATTGTTCAATGAACCCCTGCTAAGAAATACAATAGTTTATTTTATTTTAATTTTTCCAGCAAATATTTTTCTGCATATAATGAAAACGAATCATGACTGTATATGTATGATTTGACAGGTGGCTATCTCATCAACTCAGCTCTCAAGCCTGTACATAACATCCAATTAGTATAAGGTATGTGAAAACAACAGAACTGTAAAATATTTAATTATTCAAGCAAGAAATGGTGAGGCGGTTCATAATTGTTCATTCATTGTTCAATGAACCCCTGCGTAGAAATACAATAGTTTTATTCTATTTTAATTTTTCCAGCAAATATTTTTCTGCATATAATGAAAACGAATCGTGACTGTATGTATGATTTGTCTTTTCTTCTCACATGCATATTAAATCCAGATGATATCGATAGACAATATCATAAATCTGAATCTATTTTTGCCGCTGCGTCATGTCTCATTTGACCATTAGATTCCAAGTTAAAAGGCAACCCAACTCTTAATTATTTCATTTATCTGACAGCAGACACATAAGATAAACAGAATGGCGATAGTTTGAAATAAATTGGACTAATAACAAGAAAGTAATGGATGTATGAAGGAGGGGGGAAAAGTCAGATTTGCTCTAAATAGAGTAGTTTGCTATCATGGTTGGGTTTTCATGTAAATGAAAATAAGTATCACTTATTGAGAAGAAAATACCCTTTTCTACCTACATGTATATTTCATTCATCTTAGTGTATTTTGGGCCTATTCCTAAAAGTGCATTTAACTGTTCTAGTCAGAATAAAAGCCGTATCAGCTTCAAATCGCAGACAATCGTGCTACTGGTCTGACGTCACCACGATTCTGAGCCGATTTAACTCCCCTTCCAAAGAAGCATGAAATCCCTTGAAATTTAGATTTTATTAATCACAATTATAATTATTCAAATCCTCAGTCTTTGAGATTGAACATGTTCGAATGTTCATATAAAATGCTACCACAAAGTCATCCAAAATTGGATCTTATATATAGTCAGAACGTGAAGTTTTCGCCGGGCTTTGGGCGTTCTCATCAGATAATCGTTAATCAATTTCTCTTGTACGGAGTCACAATAATGACTGCTTTTAATGAATTATGGTTACAAGAACGCCATAATCATAGCTTCAGGCACAAGTTGGTATTATAGAAATCCCACTGGTATTTTACTTAGCATTTAAATAGGCTTGACGGAGAGTATAATTATTGGGTGTGTTCCCCGAAATCTACCCTGGATTCATCCCTTTTGATTATTCAACACATTTCTTACTTCTTTTGTACAGATATAGAACTCTTTGTGACGTGACAATGTGTACAGGTACTAAGTCGTTCTCGTTGATTTGTTGGCAAACTATTGTTACGTAACAACGAATAATTGGGATAAAAAAAGAGGATTTGGGTGTTCACCCCTATCGTATACGGGTAATAAAAGTTTTTTTTTAAAGTCTAGTCGAATAGCTAAGCAACTAAAGATGCTCACAAAGAAATTCGACAAATCTTGGCTATTCGGAGGTATAGTGTCATTAAAAAAGAAAAATTGGTTCAGTCTTTTGTCGGTCAGGTGTATATCTGGTCGGTGAGAGTGTGGTATAAAATGTTTTCTAGAGATTAAAAATAATTATCGTCGTGGTACTGCATACAGGGGCGGCGATCCCGGGGGACGGGGGACACACCCCTCCCCTATTGTTTAAGGGGAGATCGTCCCCCCCCCCACATTATCGGCCTCAGTTCTAAGGTAACATGTGACATGTGAATATGGATTATTGAATAATAACCCAAGTCAATGGGTACCTGGTAGCAAAAATTCTTCCTTCACTAATCGTAATGTAAACTTGATGGCAGACCGAATCCATTGAGCGTGTTGAATGCAATCGCTAATTGCAAAATAATAGCGAGTAATCTTCTTTAGATGTATGAAAGCCGTTTGAACTCCACTATGTACATATTAAATATTTGACCAACTCCTTTGTGTTCAGTTTTGAAAGGGATCATAATATGATACTAACAAAACCACAAAAATGCAAACACTTTCAAATTATTATTTACCAAGCAAATTACTCAGCTGAGTAATTAGCATATTTTACGCTGTTGGAAACCTTGGGTATACTATTATCTACAAAATAGAAAACATTATAACAAATTTATGATGACAGGTACTTAAACGTGGCTGACAGTGCATCAATTGAAAAAGCATTATTATTGATTGTTAAGCCATTATGTATGGAAATTATTTCTTTAATTATTTGTATATAATGTATGGATAAACTGTATGATGGATTTTGTTTTTAAAATAAAGAACCCTGACGAAGTGGGAAAAAGAAGAAGAAAAAATTTATTGTGGTTATATTAGACACAATGTGTGTGTGTGTGTGGGGGGGGGGGTCTGGATCAATGTATTTATACTGGTTCATCTGCTTATTGTACCCCCCCCCCTCTCTCCCCATATATTAATGTGGGGATTGATATGGGGTCTTGATCTTCATGGAGATATTAGGGGGGTAAACATGACTTCTAGATACAGGGGGTAACCATGGTAAGATATTGACCGATAATGGCACTTTGAGGGTAACGGTCCTGACAAGACGATGTCTGATGGGGGTTGTTTGACTATTAAGGTCATCATCTGTACCACAATACACCTGACGGTGGTCAGTACTGCAACTGAAGAAGAACCACTGCTTAAGTTACAGAAAGCTTGCATTAGGCATGTCTCATTAATGATAAAGCAATGTGTTAAAATATTTTATTCTCAAGACAATACTGTTGTAACCTATTTGTATTTGTTTCTTATATTGGAGTACAATATTTACATTTATACATTTCAGAGTTAATCTCCAAATGTTCAAGTCTTAGCTTAGATGAATACTCACAAGGAAATGGAGTACCGAGTGGCAATAAGGAAAGGTAAAGTTACTATACATTTTCGTAAATGGATTTTCGACTTGTAATAACTTTCATTAAAACTGATTTATTTCTGATATATATTCTATTTTGTATGCTGCATTTCATTTGCTTATTTATATTAATATATTTTGTCTCTCGTTCTATCTGAATTGTATACTGTTATTCGATCGTTGTCTTGTAATGAATAAAAAACGGAAAGAAAACACAAATAATAACGCGAGGCGGATTCTCCTACCATATAAAGCGCCGCATTGGATGAACAACATCCATAAAAATTAATATATGAAAAAATACATGGTTAAAGTGATCAAACCGAGTACTTAAGCGTTACTAACCAATAAGACAAGTAGAAAGTCTTTAGAAAGTAGATTATTTCCATATTTAATATAATATAACAACATGACTTGTATTTAGCAAAACGCGTTGTCTGATTCTTGGAAGGAAACTTCAAGTATTTGAATACAAAGTCATGTATGGTTAAACTGAACATGCCTGAAACTTAGTCGTCATTTACCAATTGGACAAGTAGAAACTAGAAAGTCTATGGAAGTAGCTTTCATCCATATTTACTATACCATACATTTACCATAGCACGTTGACAAGTAGCGGAATAGAACACCCATAAATGGTTGATTACATAGTTTAACATGAAACTTAGGCATCACTAACCAATAAGACACGTATATAGTCTATGGGACCCTTATATTTTCAGTGACAAAGGTGGACTAAAAACTGAAATAGTATTAAAGACAATATGGAATTCTTTGACCATCATTGACAAACGTTATTTCCAATTACAGTATACAACTTCTTCTTCTTAGTTGATCCCTCCACTAATACAACATGTATAAATTAATGTTCTTTGAGGGAGCCATTATTAATGAAGGAATGAAACATGGTTGTGTAAACAAATCCGCGTTGAAAAAGTTTAAAGGAAATAAAATATTGACTGACATAGACTTACTTAACTATGTCATTCATTCAATTAAAGATTGACAAGCAGATAATATCGTAACAATGAGTCATAATCTTTGAAAGTTGTTAAACTTTATCGATCATTCAGATCAGAAACTCACCTGAGGCAGAGTTTCCCGCCATCGCCCCTCCTCGATTCCACTCAACGCCACTTTGAGTACGTCCACCGATTCCTTAGTCTGCATTTAACAAGACCTTCTTATAGCCGCCATCATGAAAGAACAGGCGATATTCTCATAGACACTACGGACGAACTAAGGGAATGGAAGAGGGTGTACACAGCACTATATTCCCGAATTAAACAACAACTTTTTGACGTATATTACACACGGTGAAGTATTGGAACGAATCATGTGGTGACGTATAGGCTCACCTAGACAATGATAGGGGGAGCATTTTCCCAAACAATGGATTTCGGCAATGGCAGACGCACTGAAGCGAAAGCTGCTTTCAAAAGAGCGGAATGCGTAGGCCTACAATAAAAGAGATTCGAGATGTACAGTTTTGTCGTTGTTCGTTATGTTTATATTCTTAGATATTATTCATGAAAATCTGATTTCTCGACTGACCACTCTATAAAATAATAATAGTCATATTATGATAAGCGAACTAAAAATGAGACATTTTGTATAATCATGAGTTATAATCCACTTCAGAATTAAGGTAAATAGTTTAAGTACGCATTTCCTCGTGTTTTATAACATCGACATTATTGAGGGAGGTACCGGTAGCTAAGGGGCACAATCGCCCTTAAGCGGCTCTTACCCGAGTTTGGAACCAATATACCGTAAGTACACAACCCTAAAACGTCTCCTTTAACATTTTCAAACCAAAGGCAATTGACAAAAATAATGTGACTTAACCACACACCCCTTCTTTTTTTTTGCTTACTTGCTCGCTTGTCAGACTGTTTTTGTTTTGTATTGTTTTAAATTAAATGAGATAAGTTATTTGTGTTTCCCAGGCTTACTCATTTTTGACGGCATTGTGCCCTTTTTTGCAAAAGACTAGATCAGCCCTTGTCTCAATATCATAAAACGGGATCTCAAGCCTAGTTTCGTTCTCTGATTATTGATTGATGTAATACCCCTGACATGAGCAAGGTAGTCCAATCACTTCTTCAGAAACTTCAATACCATCTCAAGATTGGGGGCGGGGGTAAATATATTTCATTTGGATAAGGCGGGAAATGCCCCTTACCCTCTTGCCCTGATTCATAATGTTGCTCGTCAAAATGGATATTTTACCCCTGACATGAGCAAGGTAGTCCAATCACTTCTTCAGAAACTTCAATACCATCTCAAGATTGGGGGCGGGGGTAAATATATTTCATTTGGATACGGTGGGAAATGCCCCTTACCCCCATGCCTCTGATCAAAATGTTGCTGGTCAAAACCTATAGGTCATCCCTTAATATGTTTTAACAGAAATTTCCTTCTCACGCTCTATCTTACTTGGTAATAATAATTTAAAGAGAATTTTATGAATGAGCCATAACTGTCTTCGGATAATCCTTGATAATCACTTATCACCCTCTGAGTCATCGAATACCTATCGACATCCTATTGTATATGTTTTAATTGCTTTTTAATTGCTTTAGCTAATCAATCGGCCCAAGATGTTAAATACAGCCAGTTTGATAACGACAAGCATCGACTGAAATAACACCCTCAAGTAAATCAAATCTGCAGGTCATTAAAGTGTGTCTTAATTTGAAGGAAAAACAAATTATTTCTAAACCTTCTTGCTTGCAACTTGAAAACAAAACTGACAAAAATTCCATTTGGGATGGGGTGTCAGACGCCCTAAGTTGTAGTGTCAATTTCCCCTCGACGCCACGTGAACCAAATTTTGTCAAAAGGAAGAGCTATAATTATGGCTCTCAAAAACCTCCATCGGGTAGGGGGTGTCACATTCACCTCAAAATAAAAACAACTCCAAAGTGCCCTTATGCTTTGTTGCCCCAATATGGTCTCTATCTAAAGAAAAGACATTACAAAAAGTATAACCTTAATAAATCAGATATGGTAACTCAAATTTTTCAATTCACTTCAACTTTACATTATAGTGCAATCTTGAGTACCATAATTCTCTTGAGGTACATTTTGTTGACAAAATGATAATTTCAATAATAAGTTACTTAATTATAAAACAATTGCTTTCTCACAAGTAGCCAACAATAGTGACAGCACTATTATGTAAACAGTTCAACCGAACATTTTCACCTATTTTTACAAGAGACAATATACCTGATATAAGAGCCCGCTAGGTACGGCTATGTAAATGCCTCATGGCCACATCAGCGTGATATTTATCATTCATGTGCCAATACCACAATATTTTATTGTATGCGTGTGAGAGCGCGTGTGTGTGGGTTGCACAATACGACTATTCTATTTTGTTTATCCGAGTCAAAGTTCGTCAGCATGAATTCATTTTCTCTTGTTGAACCATTTATGTCTATTATACAGTAGTTGCAAAAGAACAATTCAATTGCCATAAGCAGATGTATATGATGATATGCCAACTTTGAAGGAAAAAATAGTAAAAAAATATGTGTTTTGTAATTTTGTAGCCTTGACATCATCTGTGTATTGCTGCGTAAGTTTGCAAACAATATAGAGTTAAATTCATACGCTGTGAATATATAGATATACATGTAATTCGTCTTTTGTGTTTGCTAGTTATTTGTGTATCCACAGAGGTAGTGGTGTCATTGTTATTACATTGTAATTATCATTAACGTGCACAATGTCCATACGACACGAGAGTCATCATTTAGGTCTGTGGCGCCGTCACACAATGCAGAATCACTTACACTGTCGCTCATTTAGTTAGAATATTTTTTTTTACCCCAATTTATGGAATTATTTTGACAATGATTTATTCCTAATAGATCTAGATAATAGTATACATTCTCAGATTTTATTGAATATTAATTTGCCAGTGTTTGTTTTGCGTGATTGCTAAAGCATGTGTATGCTACTATGCTTATCAACTAGGGGACCTACGCCCTTTAGTCATACATGACAGTAATGAGATTAATGCCCCACAAAAGAGCACTAATATGGCACATCGACACGGTTTTGATCATGGGGCCTCACAGTTACGAGGCCATTGCTTTGCCACTGAACCATGACTGTACGCAGCGGGGGCTAGGGTAAGGGGCAGTTCCCACAAATTTAAAAAAAAAAAAAAAATGCAATAAATTTTCAATAATTCACTGAATTTTACTCCGGTCCCCAACATAAATAAATCCTCTGTACGACCATGCATTATGGCTCAAGGCATGGGCACACACTCACTTACCCCTCCCCAACTCGCCATTTCCACACACCCGGTTCACACATCATACCCAATGGCATATAGGCCTACACCCTGCAACATAGTGGAACATTCTAGTTTGGTAGTGACGGCGAACTAGCTACGTTTGTGCTGGCAATTAATGGTCCAGCGAGCGAAAATGAGACAACCGGAGCAATATGTTACTGTTCATATAGATGATTTTTAAAATAATTAGCAATTTTCTAGGTGTAATTTTTTTTACTCACACGGTATGTCATCTTCAATAGGTCATCCGCCCTTGTAAAACTGCTCAAATGTTAAACTCAGACACTCAAGAATGTGGAACATTACATTTTAAGCTCATCAGGACTTTAGGGAATAAAGTAGTCTGAAATGTCGAGGTAAGGTATTGTGATTTGTCCTCCTTGTTTGAGGATAGTATGGGTTTTTGTTTTGAAGCAGCATAAAACCAGTTTAGATAGAAAGTCAAATACCGTGCAAGAATTAATTCCAATTGAACAAGCTATTTTCTAGATCTGTGCTTCCTTGCTGTACATCACTTTTTTTTGTTCTCTCTTTTTTTTTGGGGGGGGGTGTCATAGTTTCAGGACACATGTAGCTTTATCCTTGGTAGTGTCAATGTACTCTTTTCCTGTTTAATATTTCAGACAGCCAATTGTTCTTTTTCATACTTAAAGACGTCCTCAAGTTTGATTCTGTTCGTATAGTTCAGGACATTCTGAATTATCCTTTTCAAGGCATTTTTAGTATCTGTTGTATATGTAGTTTTAAGTCTATGGTACAGTTTTCAGATTACAAAAGAATTCCCAGGTGTGATGATTTTCTTGTTGTACGCATACTTTCAAGACATCTTAGTTTTTTATTCACAAATTCAAGGCATTTTCTGAAAAAGTTATAAGTTTTCCCATGTATTAGAATTATTCACAGTTTTCCTTTCGCACTATTTTTAAGGAAAATAAATTATAATTTCTTTTTGAAAAGTTTCAGTACATAGTAAGCTTACATGTCCATAGAAGGCTTCAATTTCCCTTTCTGTTTATTTAAGATATTCTGCGTTTTTCCTTTTCACAATTTCAAAACGATTTCATTTTCTCAGTTTTCCCTTTTGTATAGTTTCATGACAATCCTACTTTGATTCTTATTAGTGAATTTCCCGACATTCTCAGTCAATCATTTTAATTAAATGTGAACAATGAAGGCACAATGAAGACAAATTACCAATTATTCATGTACAAAGTTCATGACATTCTCACTTTTCTTCTTCAAAGATTTTGTTCCGATGCCGATTGTTTTCATTCTCATAGTCGCAAGTGATTCTTATTTTTCTTCCATTGTAATTTCACGTCATGGACCGGTCTATAAAACCTCTGTCGGGGGTACACCCAGGAGGTATTTTTTCAGGGGGGGATAGCGAAAATGACAATATATCTGACAAGCGAAATAGGCTTTATCGCTTTATTTCGATGCTAGTTTACTAAAAGAAATCTCTGACAACTGAATGCCAGATATCACATATTCACGTGCGCTTTCTTCACTTAGGGTATGGTTTTTAAATGGGACAGGGACAGACTGTGCCCCCCGCCCCAATGTTTCAATGCAGTCCCTCTTCTCACGATGGTTCGAAGTGAAAGACCTCGAATCTTTTGTGTCGTCTTCCAGTCATAATAAAAAGTGCCACACACTTGTGAAGATGGTTAATTTTCCTCCAACTGTCAAAACGAGGCCAAGGTTTGTTTACGGTAACTGACTCATTACTGACCGTTGTCTGGGAAACACCAATTGTTCCCCTTAAACAATATTATTGCCATACAATGTTGTATAGTAAAATTACATGTTAATTACATTAAATGAAAGTATTTGTATGTGTTTATTTTGATCTTTGCTTTTATTTTTTACTACGTCTATTTGCGATACCTGAACATCTTTACACAAGCCAGTAAGGAATATGTATCAGATTATATAATCAATATTTAATTTGTACCGCAAATAAAAACCTCTCACGTATTTATTGGCTCAAAAAGTGGATAATGTGCAATGTCTACTCTTACTTTCCGTGGATTACAAAACAAATATAATTATATTTATATATATATATATATATGTAAAG